AAAAAAAAAAAAAAAAAAAAAAGAATCCACATCGGGCCGCCATGTAACCCACCACCACAACCCAATGAACCCACCGAGGGGAAACAAAAAGACCAAAATTTCCGAAGCAGAACGCCTCATCTCCACCAAGGAAGCATTCTAGAACGGACGGCCCCTCTTATTTCCACAGGACCCTTGACATACGCGATAAGGCGACATAAATGGGGCCGTTTGGCTTTTTGCGGCTGTGTTTAGTTTCAGTGCGGTGAGGTGAGATTGAGGGGTTACATTTCAGTCCCTTATCATAGTGGGGGTTGTAATGGCATGGTCACTGTTTGTCTTGCGTTGATTACCTAGGAACGTGAAGGATTTTTTCTAGGGTAATTTTATACTGGCTTGGTAGGTATGGTACGGTGTTTTAGCTTTTTGGTTGGTTTGGGGGTGGTACCTACTGTTTATTATGTAGTTTGTTAGTGTGACGGCTGTGTTTGGGTTGGCTTTGTGTTGGTGTATCAGTTTCATTTCGTTTTTCTTTTGGTTGGTATATAATAATAAGATTCAGAGTTGGGTTCTGTTTGTTCGCTACAGATTAGCGGTTTGCTCAGGAACAAGTCGGACATTGTTGGTATGACTTGTGGCAGTGAGGGGTGGGACAAGGGCTTTGGTCTCTTGTCTCTTGTCTCTTGTCCTCTGGGTTCATGTTTCACCAGCTAACGGTCTTTCTCCTGCTCAAGTGCTTATGTTGGGTTTCGTATAGATTGATTGTTGCTGTTTTGGATGTGTTGGTTGTGGTGATTGAGTACTGTTCCAATGTTACATGGTTGGACATTTTTTTATTGTTACAGCTGGGGTATAGAAGGTGCTGGAGACTTTATATTTATCGACATCGGAGGACAACTAAGGTACTGACATGATTGATTCTTAAATGGGTAGTGGGGTAGAAGATGCTGCGGATATATATTTTGCGGTGTACATGACAATTAAAAAAAACAAAACAGGCCCTGGGATCTGTGTAGATAGAATTGATGTTTTATTCAACTGGAACTCATTTGTTTCTAAGAGATTTAAAAAATAGAATAAAGTAATCAAAAAAGATAAACTAAAATGATGGTAGAAAAATAAATGACCGATGCAGGGATCGAACCTGCGATCTCTCGCGTTCACGATGTAAAGCGAGCGCCGTAACCACTAGGCCAATCGGTCGAATGATGATGAATTAGCCAATATTAGAAACTGATACTTTCATTTGAAATTTGTAGAAGGAGTCAAAAAGCCAACATGGGTATGTGTAGTCGGCCAAACCTTGTCATTCTATTCACAGAGTGTGGGTTAAGCAATAGAAAGCAGCAGATAGTATAAACTACTACGTACATCAAGGATAATATACAGAGGACGCGAGCATCCAGTAGTTCGTGTCTTGTACTCACCACGTGACTGTCCAATACCTTAATAAGCACACGCTAACCTATTAAAGCTGTACATAACTTCTGTAATTTATTTTCCCACTTTCTTTCTACCTCCTAATTTTATTCGAAAACTATGAGCTGCTACAAAGCATCTAGAAACTGTTGCAAGACATCCGATTTTTCTTTTTTTCTTTCACCTCATGGAGTCTCGTAATTCTATCGTCGATGTGGATGGACTTGGTTCTGAAAACGATCCGGGTATTGAGGTGACGGTAAACTAGTTCCGAAGTACTATACAAGCAGTTTCTAATTGGTTGCTAAGTACTTAATACAGGAACCATCTCCTACTCCCATTCATCTCACACAAGCCAAAGGCCATGGCCTTACAACTCTGAAAATAGAACATGTCGATGACCTACCAGAGTATCCAAGAAGCCATATCCATGGATATACATATGCTGTTTTTGCAAGGGGACGATCACAAAGTGAAATGGAGCAAGTTATACAGGAGGTAAATACGAAGTGATGTTACATGTATAACTGACTACTAAGTAATGCTAGATTCAGTATGCAAGAAGCAAAGGCCATGGGCCGAGAGGACCAGTGTTTAGCCCATTTCTTAATTGCCGCGCCAGAAAATGGAACTGGAAATGCTCTGGGATCTATGCATGTGAATTTTTGACTCCCGCGCTTCGATCTCTTCACCACACCTCTGTGGATGACAGCTTTTGGCAGGAAATCCTAAAAGCTCAGAGGGAGTCTCAGATCATAGGCAAAGACCTAGGCACGAGAAATGCGTACAAGTATTTTCAATACCCTTAGCTACTTATCAACTAATTGCTGACTATTTATAGTTACTATCGGTCGAGACTGAATCTCTTCCAGAAAGGCCATGCCTGTATCGACAAAGTTTCTACATGTAAGCCAGTCTTCAAAAAGAAAGATAGTCAAATGGTAAGCACTGTGTCTTGTATACGTGGTTCTTAAGTACTCTCTAACTGCTCTAGATTGTTTATGGCGAATATAAACCTTATATTGGCTGTATCAATGAAGCCTCTGGTGTTAGAGCAAAACATTACAGGGAAGCAATATCAGCTTTTACGGCTGTCGACCTAGAGTTCCTAGAAGATCTTTTTAATAAAGATATTTTACCACCAACTGAAGATTGCCGTGTTTTTGAGCCTCTAATATCCCGACGGAAACATTGTGGTAGGCTACCTATAAAGAGTTTAATAGCCGGCTGCTAACTGTACAAAAGAACGACTTCATCCTCAGGGACTAGGCCAATTAAAGCGTACAACCTGTGATGTTACTTTTAACGCTTTAGTTCCAGTGGATCTCAGTCAATGTCCATATGTCTTGTTTACATCGCACGGTGTGCATAAACATCCACCACCGCCCCCGACTCTGTTACCTCGTCTTATGACTCGAGAAAGTAAGTGTGTTCATTCATGGTCAATTTGTCAATAGGTATTTAGTAACTAAAGCATTCATATAGGTAGCCGCAAACGTCAACGGTCCTCTTCAGCTAGTCTCCCTGAAACCCAATCCGCTTTACCGCGACCTCCGTCAGCTCAAACAAGCGCAAGATCCGTCTCCCGACCTGCTTCACAGAATGGTGATAACGAGTGTGTCTCCAAGTATTTAACAACCGCTCTACCACGAAATCCGGTAGTTCCAAGAAGTGCAAGATCCGCCGTCCGATATACTCCACAGGATGGTGATCACGAGTATGTCTCCGAGTACTTATCAACCACTTTACCACAACCTCCGCCAGCTAAAAGAAGTGCAAGACCTCCCTCCCGATTGACATCACAGAATGATGATAACGAGTATGTCTTCAGTACTTATCAATCAATTAGGCCCATAAGACCCTCTCACGATCTTCCTGGTGTTGCTCCAACAAATGCCTTGACTTTCGAACAGAGACGTCAAGAGCTTGAGCTTCGAAAGCTTGAAGCAGATGTTAGACAAAAGGAGGCAGAAGTCAAACAAAAGGAAATAGGTCTCAGGAAGCAAGAGGAGGAAATACGTGAAATGGAGCTTGAGAATGAAAAAAGAGCGCTTAAAGTGAGGGAGATGTGGATTGAGATGCAAGACCGTCTATTTGGTGAGGATGAATGGTTTGCAAAGTAGTTAGCGAACCTGCAAGGGAAAAATTGACGTTAATTTATAATATATTCTATCGAATAAACAGGTATAAATTTATTACTGCCTATATCTGTTTATTGATTATATGACCGCTAGGAAACTTATACAAACTATTTCTACTCGCACGGCCGAAAGACGACCCCGACTTCATCTGAAACCACCATCCTGGCTAATATTAACCCCACGCATAGCCATGTCAATTCCATCATCACAAAAGCTTCTTCATCCTGTCGCTGTTATTTTTAGCTGATGAACCTGGGCCCCGTTTTCTGTATGCAAGGTGAGACGGAGCGGTCGATACTAGGCGAACAGTAAGATTACAGTAGTATCCAACAAGGCCTGCAGATTATCATTTCTATTACATATTAGCTAGATCAAGTGGGGGTCATCTGAGTGGGGCGATGCCCTTGTCTGATCATCGCCGTGCATATATTAGATGCATAGTATTGGAAATGCACATCAGCACGTGGACGCTTTACTGGAGAGAAGGGGAGAGTGGCTTAGCTTCTAGTTCAATAGTATCTGTACGGGGACACGAATACCGCCGATTACGCCTCACCAGTACTAGCGAAGGTAATATGAGTAAGGTGAATTGCGAATATCGGCTATTTCATTTAGCCCAACTACGCTGTGTCGGCCAAGCCTTCGGTCGTCTGGGTTTATCCGTCGGCTAATAGGTTGAAGTGTTGGGTATTTCTGTTCACTGCCTATTCTATAACATCGTACTCGCAATCAGGTAGAATCGGCGGTGTATGGAGTGTGTTGCGTCGGGTTTTGCCTAAGTGCATTGCTTTACGATTCCTCTTATTATCGTTGCCTTTTCATCGGATATATGTGAAGCTTTCCCAGCCTTCCGTGAAACAGAATCGGTTTTGTATTGACTAATTACTCAAACGAGTCGAATAGTGATATTCTGATAGTATTATCCGATATACGACTAATTTCTCCTGCAATCATAGATCATTCTGATCAATATAGCTTACCACGGAGAGTAATTGCGCATCAAGACTCAGGACCACCTTACACCTTCTGATGTCCTGTGACCAGTCAATTAATGATAAAGCATGAAAAAGGTAGTATGAGCTTCCTGAAACGCATTTCTGTTTTCTCGCACATATATTGTTCCACTGCCCTCGACCCATGGATCTCGAGGGTTCAGTCCCTGTGTTTGTGTAGAAATGCATAACCGCAATATATCATTGTTGATAACTATATACGGGTGTTTAGATGCCCTAGGAGCATAATTGATCTCACACTTGTTGGTTCCGTTCAGACTCAGATGATAGAAGTAGTTGCAGGTGGTACATAAATCACCAAATTTATAAGTCTTTCATGAAAGTATAAGAGGTAATATATGAGGCATCTCAAAATCTCCTTGAAACAGCTATAACGGCCAGAAATCAAAACCGGGAAAGCCCTGGGCCATGCTTTCTTGGCTCAACAGTATTTGATAGACCATTTAGCCAGACCAGAAGATGTGAAGGTGCCCACTTCTAGTATTTGTACTCTAGTGAAACATATTTTATAATAGTCGTTGCATATTCCACCCAAGATCATCCCCCCAGTCAATTGATTGGCTTCCAATGTTGTCGTTTCCGAAGATTCCAGAACCAGGGGAAATGATCGATGAACTAGGACCGGTATCGCAGCCAAGAGCGCATATCTCCTTCGATTCAAGAATGTCATTAAGGGCACACCCCAGATTCCTATACGTTTTGATGTAGGGAAGGCTAAGCTGATCATCAGAATGGTACTCGTGCTCTAGGGAACTGATGAGAGCACTGATATTGCGTATAAGCTCCACTGGAGATGGTGAATGATCATGTAATCCGTTGTTTCCATTGTACTCCTTCAGGGTGAGCATAAGGTACTCGGCACATGGGACACCATATAATACCCCCTGGCATATGAAGAGAGAGGTCTTAGTTTATTGAGAAGCCATGCGTACTAGTCAGGTGGCGGACGGAGAACTCACCACGCGGATACGTTCCAGCGGACTAGTCTGTGCCCTCATCTTAGGGAAAGCAAACAGACTGATCACTATATTGAGGGTCCTTTTGCAGTGCCAGAGAAGATGAGGTCTCATGCTCTCGATAATGTTACTGAGCTCTTTATAGATAAGATATTCACCTTGAAGAAAATCCAAGAAGAGTAGTAGCTGTGGGAAGGAGGTCATGTAGGGCATCGCCTCGACCTGGTCAGTGTCTTTGTGATGCAGATTGATCGGCATCTCTAGCCAGGTGGCCCTATAGCGCCAAGATAAATCCCTGAAAAACCATAAGTAACATATAGTGAACGATGGAAAGAATGAATCCATGGCTTACTTTAGCTTTGGGAGCCTATTGACAGAAGACGCTGCGTGGGACAGTTGAAGAAGTTCATCTCGAAAACCGCCCAAGATATATCTAGCACGGATGTATGTAGCTGAGCAGACAGAATCCGATTGATTAGAATCATGGACTCGCGAATGTAGCGATTCTGAGCGAGGAAAGCCCTTTGCAAGAAGTGCATCGTCATCAATATCAAGTGGGATTTCAAAATCCTGTGGGAGGCAAGGAATTCGCGGGATTTGGCCGTGGAAACTCGCCAAACTTTTATCCATCCAATACGCAGAAGCTATAATCTTCCTTCGTGACTGGGAAAGGAAAAAGGGAACCTTTCGGTTCCCCGCGCCAGGCTTGACTATGGTCGGGTCTAGGGCTTCAGTGGCCAGGTCGCCGAGGCGCTGCCATGTCTGATGACCTAGAACGATAAGCTTGTTGTAGGAATGTTGTAATGTCTCCAATGCGATTATGATGGCCTGATGGATGTGTTCAAGGGGGCTTACTGCAGTCACCATAGAATTGTGCTGTGAGGGTCAAACTTTCGTACAGCAACCACAGGAGAACCTCATTTGTAGGTGCATATTCTTTACATAATGAGATACATAGATTACTGCAGTACATCATTGTTGAAATGCATGATGCTTTGTTAGTACCATGAGTCGCTATGAAATTTGCAGCAACCCTGTCATCCGTTGGTGAGTGTAGCAAAGCAAGTGTGGCCCATGTGAATAGGAGCCCCAGCGCCTCCCAGCGTATTGCAGACCCTGTGAACCTTTTGTAGAGGTTATTAGGAGATACATATACCCCCAGTTCCAGTTCGCGACAGGTATTCCCAGTGATCATAATTGACTTTGCCAATTGATCTCCGGTGCTCATTTTTTCGATTGAAGGATCTTCTGCTAAGGATGCGATGACCGTTTGTGCCAGAAAAGCTGGGATTGGAGTCCCATGGCTCTGTGATTGGACGTACCGTTCTGCGAGCTTTGCGAGGGTTGAGATATCAGTAAGACGTTTTAAAAGAGTAGATCCTTGTTGGATATCTGTGGTGCATATGTCGCGAATGGCAGGTGAGAGCGACGGGTAATTGGCCCAATTTATACGGTTAGGCTGGGTGTCCAAACCCTCTTGATAGACTTGTCTGAGAAAGGAGGTTAGTATTCATTTCATAAAATTTATACGGAGCCCTGGTCACTAGGACACCCTCCGGTCGACCAATGCCTGCTAGGCCGCTCCCCTTTCTATCACTGCTGCTGTACCAGCCAGTGTCCAAGGCATAGTATGCCATAACGACATTCGCCCAAAAACGTCCAAAGCCAGTCATGTAGCTCAAACATGGAAAGAATGAACGTACACATCATCAGTGATACTACCCCTGCCATCCCAAGGAGCTGCAGGGGACGAAATGAGACGCGACAGTCTTTGAGGGTCGTGATGATGATATTGCTGTAGAGAGTCCGATCGGGTCATTGGCGCTGGATGATATATACAACTTGTAGTCATACCACGATATTGGCATCTCCGACATATGGGGAACTCATGGTCGCACCTAATTTTCGACTTCCGACAAGGCTCGCAAGAGCTTCTCTTGCCATTACGACGGATCATTGTATGTTGACCTTGTAGTCAATTGCTCCTTTGGTGGGACCACGATAAGAAGGTTGGATCTTAGGCACTGTTAACCTCTAGAAGAGGGAAGAAGGTGGTCGAGTTAACGGGCTGGATACGTGACAATATGTACTCATACAAATCAGACTTCCGCGTCCGGAAGGCTGACATTCACCATGACGGCTACCCACTTGGAGCAGGGTCCTCGAATGCATGACACTTTGACACCAATTGTTGGGAACGGGTTGCTCGCTTCAGTTGTCATGTTCTAAGCTGGAAAACTTTAATTTATTCAATTAGGGCTCGGATCCTAGCGGCACGTCAGTTTGCGGCCCGCGGATAGTGAAAGACTATTCTCACAGCTAATCCTATCATTAGTCCATAGAAGATCTTCTATACTTCTCAAAAGCCTATCCTTTCAAACTAGGCCTAATAAAAAGGTAAAAAAGTCATAAATACTCGCATTCAAATCGAACATTTTTTTTCTTAAAAAAAAGTAAGTATTGCGAGGCAGCTGACTTCACGGATTCATCTACCGGCTTTAGGGTGGGTACCAGCTGTGGTCCGGATCAGAATACGACGGTTGCATCACCATATTCTAAATTAAGCTACTCATGATCTATGAGCCTTCAATGCTCAGCTAGCTAAGCTAACGATAACGATGGTTTAACATACAGTGTAATATCCCTAAGCCAGCTAGCCTGTACTTACGGAACACAGCCACGACAATGTCGAGGCTGGCTGAATCATGGTAGACGCAGCATTCCAGTATGACGGTAGTCTAGACAGAATAGGGGAGTTTTTTGCAACGGACAGCCATGACTGGTAGTACCACGGCTGACTGGACTTTGAGTGGCGTTCTCCTGCAAGGTTTGGAATGTTCACAGTGTGCCACGCCTTGCTTCCAAGGGGCGGGTGATCCCAAAGTCCATGCCAGAAAAGATCAGCAATTGAGACATGAAAAGGAGTTAATGACATGGATCAAATGTGACTATTGTCTCAGAAGCAGATTCGCTTGAGTTGGAGAACATAGAAAGGATGTAGGTGGTCTATTTACAGCCGGTACTCCGTGCTGCCCCTATTAATTGCCAATAACCCATCGGCGCTGTGACTTTCCAACAAATTTTTGAATGGAGCCCCAACAATCAAAGAGCTCTTCTATCGGCAATGCTGCCCAAGCCAGCGGTACTCCTGGTCCGCACATGGTTCATTCACCCGATGATCTGGAAACAATCTCCGCTGCCTATCAGGTTCTGTTCTACGTTACACGCTCTGTCTCTTTCCAACAGCTCCTAGACTCTCTCCCGCCAGATACCCCCGGTGTCCTTATGAAACCGCTCGTCTGCTCCTTTCTTACCTACTTCACACAGCCGCAGTCGGATACATTCCTCGAGAAAGTGAACACTCGGGTGTTTGAAACTGTGGATCGGGTATTCCATAACTCCAAGATTCCTCCAAGATGGTTGGCCAACGACCTCAGTTCCCGCGGTTACACGCCACAATGTCTAGATGAGCAGGATTGCCTGCGGTGGGACGTAATTGGTATCATATATGCTACCGTCGCTCTATCCCTAACTATAAGGCATGACCTATCTGATTTTGACAGTGACGCATCACAGCCAGACTCTTGGACAAAAGAGACGATCCTAAAAGATCTGACTCATGCCGTTAATACATGCATAAGGTTCCAGGAAATGACCGGCACCAAAACTGAACTTTATTTATGGCTTCTCATCCAAGACATCATTCTGCTGATTAGAATCTACGGTGGCCACAGTGGGTGAACTTTGCCGTTATACTTGTGACGGTTGGTGCTAATACATGGGCTCAAAATTCGATAGATCGACATGTCTGGCGGAGGTTAGGAGATATTGGAAACGTACTTTTTACTATTGGGCTGCACAAACCATCCTTAAGAAACCAGATCATTACACAGATGCATATCCGCCAACAGTTGTTCTTGACAGCTTATACACTGGACAAGGCTATAACCACGCTAATGAATCGACCACCACGAATCTCCAGGCAGTACTGTATGGATTTAGACAATGTTATTTTGTCTTTCCCTGCTGCCGACGGGCTCAACCACTATCTCTCAACTAGGTTGAGTCACTCCCTGTCTTCCCCAGCATCACTTGTAGAAAAGGCCAGTTTTGTCATGAGCATACTACGCGAAGACGCCCAGGTTGCGAGGTCGACATTGCATGACAGCCCAGAAGGCTCTACACCTGGGTATGTCTCGGGGCTCCTTTATAGTGTACTGTACGAACTGATGTATTCTAGAAATATGACTCGACTGCTAGAGGGCATGTGGCAATCCCTGAAAGTTTCTAGCGGTGTACCGCCGGAGAGTTGGCAAATGGAACAGTTACCACATCAAAGCTATAGCTTATTAATAGCCTATTTGGAATACCTATACACACAAGTATACATCTGGCAACATCTGCTGCCCGGACAGGTCTACACTCTTGGGGAGATGTGTCGAAAGACACTCGAGACGATGATATGTGGAGTGAAGTCCTTGGGTAGTCTAGAAGAATATCGTTCTGATTTCGCATGGAGAGTGAGTTGTAGAAGTCTTCTGGCCAGTTCAATGTGAACCACGCCACGCGAAGGACAAATTGCTGATGGGAATTTCTCTTAGCTTGTTCTATACGGACTTCCAAGCGCAAAGATACTGGCCTCACTTCGCTTTACCCACTCAAGCCAAACCACGAGCAGATTGGATTCATTTGGCCAAGGAACGGTGAATTCGGAATTAAACACATTCTTTGCCTGTATCCTAACGGTAATCCAGCCCAAGGATCCACACTACACCGACTGCCAACAAGTTCACCAAAGCATCAAGATCTCCCTGGCTCAAGCGGCTGACCCAGAAGTGACGTTCTCATACCCGCCTGGCCAGTCTACAGCCCGGCCTACGCTATGATGTGAGGAGTTCGCGTGTTGCATATCATGGGAGGCATCTATCTTATTCGAATTTTCCCAATACAACAATAACCATCGCGTACGGATGTTATCCACTATTTGAACTTTTACAGTTACCCCCATCCGGCGATTATTGTCATTGTGCGAACATTACTTTGTTATTAGCGACGAAGAAATATCTCCAATTTGCTACACGATTATAGGACGCGTTTTCCTCGTGAAATTGGATGATACATTCAATCGTGTAACCCTCCTTGTTCATTAAGAATCTCCGCTATTGCCGAGAAGCATGTACTAGTGATTATCAAAGATGATCCATACTATACTCTGCAGATGGATCCAGTGTGGAATGAGGGTACCAAATAGCGACCTGTATTTCGTCTCGCCAGGTGCACCACTCCACCGGGTTCGGCTCATGTCATTCATGAATGCGCAAGGGATAGAGCGGGCCTCGTTCTTCAACAACCAATAGAACGCATATGTTTGCGCCAACTCGCTGACTCCGATCATTTTTGTGTACCTATCTGAAGCACGGCCCAGACTTTGATCGAAGCGGAATGAGTGAGCTGGCATTCCGACACATTCTTCTACCTAAACCCTACTTGATTCTCAAGGTGACGCCGGATTTATCGTCATGTCAAAAACACGCCAGCTACTTCATGGAGACTTGACATACTCGCATGCGAAGGCTAAGGAAATTAATATCTTACACCAACTTAGTTACCCCGGTCAACAAACTCAATTCTTTGCTCTTCTCCAAAACAAGTGCAGCTGGATAAGAGTTATTGTCGCCCATCATCGGAACCTCCCCTCTATTAACGCGTGCCAGGTAGCTGATATTAGGGAATAGCTTCATAGAAGCTTCAATATATACATGCCAATCACAATTCTTAGATAGAACCAGAAACGACAATCGGGGAACCGTGGTCTAGTTCACTTCCCATTACCACATCGTATCGGAGAGAATTTTCGACGTGGAAATAGAAACAAAAAAATTCGGTGTGAAGCAGGAACGTATGCCTGGTTAGAAGAAAACTGTCCATATATACCAATTCCGCGTCTTTTATAGGTTTGGAATGGCTACCGGGGAAACTGTATAGAGCTTTTGTAGTTTTTGGGACTTCCTTGTTAACTAATGTCCGATATAGTTCACTCGAACTGAGAATCTTCCAGTTTTGACTCGTTGTATACAAGATTTGCACCATCGCGTGTTGTTTTTTCTCGGCCGCCCATCCCCTTCGATATATCCGTTATCAGTGCAAAACTGAATTACCCAACGGAGTTCCCAACATTGGCTACCTCCTAATTGAATACATCGAGGAAACGAAGGTAAGATGTTGTCGTCTACCTGGAGTTTGAAGCGCGAGGACGTGAAGTTACGGACAAACCTTTTTCAGGATCTTAGCAGAATATATCTGATATTATCAAGGATACCACTCCATAGGATTGGATCTTTTATTATTAACAACAATAGATTTATATGTTTTAAAAACCGACTACTGTCACTTGGTATCCAAGACCTCGAAAATAAACGCATCCTAACGGATATATCACAAGATTATATGTATTCCACGGTCGACTTCTATATAATAGATATATTATCTCTTAATAACAGCCGGCTTCGCTATCAGCTAAACGCCATTAATAACCTTGTAAACTATATTTATCAAATCTCTTCTTTTACGACCATACGGGTAATATTTCTATTATTTTTCAATCGTAACTATCGTCGCGGGCCTTTTATTTTCTCGTTAACGGATCTATATCCAAGCAATATCTTTGTTGATAAGAACTGGAATATAACGTCATTTATTAACCTTGAATAGATATACTCTCTGCCCATTAAGATAATCCAACCTCCCTACTAGCTTACTCGCATGGCTGTAGATCGGATTATATCTTCTAAATACAATAATATCCGACTGGAATTCATGAGCGCTCTTACTAAGAAAGAGGGCTCCTGTTTTTCTATTTACAAAGATAGTTTTTCAGTCTCGCTACAGCTATTATACATAATGAGCGTAGTCTGGTACAAGGGAACTTTCTGGTATAATTTAGCTTTGTCAAGCCCCACAGGACGCTTTGCGATCTTTGACAAGGAACTTCAACCAAGATTTATTGATAAATATACCGATCACGATGCCTTTTATGAAATTATACCATAGTACTGGGCGCAGGATATTGTGCCCATCTTGACATAGAAACTTGCGGAGAAAAAGGCCTACAATATACAACTCAGACACGAATTTGAGAGCGACACTACTAGCTCGTCATAGTCTGGGTAGCCAGGTATTTACAGGTTACTGACTCGAACCTTTGGGGCTCTCTTGACTTTGTTCTTACGTAGCCATATATACAAGGGCACCAAGCTGAAGCCTACTGGGCCTTGTACTACCTAAGCTTCCGCAATAGGCTATTCTCGGCAACCCTAACATCGTAGTATTAGGCCCCCGATCCCTATTCTCTAGCGTACCCCGAAAGGCGGGTACCCGTGGGCTAGACGATTGAACCCCTGTCGGCCACCACCACCGGGATCCGACCACGCGGGTAATATTGGTCTTTGGGTAAAAAGGCTTGGTACACCTGACCCCTAAAGTGGGTGCCCGAGATTTGGTCACATGGGGAGTACTACCGGACTTACGCATTAAAGCCGGCTGTTGAAAACGAACCATCCATACATAACTTCCAGGTGAATTTCCTCTGGCATCGATTGATATCCTAACTGGGGAATGACTGCGCGATTTAATTAAGTTCATGGGGGCCAAAAGTACCGATCTTATTATTAGTCTTGGCATTTAACTACCTATAGACCCATCTAGAAGTTAGTAAGAATGGAACTTCGACTCTATAAAAGGGCTTTGTAGGACCTGGGAGGAAGTCAATCTCTCTACGAATAACGAACATCACGAATTACTTCGTTTACTATCACATCCGTTATGTCTCTGAACCAAGCTGCCTGGCTCGACGCCGAAGGTCAACCTCTTCGGCTTGGCCCTGCGCCGATGCCAAAACCCGGCCCGAGGCAACTGGTCATCAAGAACCAAGCTGTGGCGATTGTAAGTCCATGACATCTCGTTGAATATCCATAAATAGACTAACCGCTCAACCCAGAACCCAGCAGACTGGAAGATCCAGTAAGCCACCGACAAACACTTAAGACTGTAGCCAGTGCTAACATGTCAGAATCGCGGCACCATTCATTAAGAATTGGCCGATGGTGCTCGGACTAGACATTGCAGGAACAGTTGAAGAAGTGGGAGAAGAGGTAACCCGTTTCAAGAAGGGTCAGCGTGTTATCTCGTAAGCTGTCTCGCCCTATAGGACTTTCTACGGCGTTCACGATGACTGATACACCCGGATAGGCACTCCCAGACATTAAGAGACCAAGTCCCTGCCAAAGGCGCATTCCAGCTCTATCCACTCGCCGAGGAAGTGTTCACCTCCGTGATTCCGGATTCCATGAGCTTCGAGCAAGCCGTCGTGCTACCCGTGGCCATCTCGACAGCGGCCTCCGGTCTCTACATTCCGAAATATCTCGGTCTTCCGTACCTCCCCTCGCCAAACCCTAAGCCCACCGGAAAGACGCTCCTCGTCTGGGGAGGGGCCTCCTCCGTCGGTGCAGTCACTATCCAACTCGCCGTTGCATCCGGTCTGAAAGTAGTCACCACGGCCTCTCCGGCTAATCATGAGGTTGTCAAAGCCCTGGGCGCCAGTGCCGTGTTCGATTACAGATCCCCATCTGTAGTTGAGAACATTGTCAAGGAGCTGGAAGACAGCGACCTTGCTGGCGTCTACGATGCCATTGCCGAAGAGCCCAGTTTCGAGCCGATCACGGAGATTCTGAAGCGTCTAGGCCGCCAGGTCAAAGTTGCCGCGGCGCAGGCTCGTGAGAAGCCATCGGAGGGGTTTGATCCCCTCTTTGGTATGTCATGTCATTTTCCATTAGTATTATCGCATGCTTGTAGAGATGGCTAACCTTTTTCAGTCTTCTGTTTTGAAATCGCCACAACCCCGAATGAAGCGTTTGGCGAAGCTATTTGGGGGAAGTTCGTGCCCGAGGCATTGGCCAGCGGACAGTTGCAGGCGAAGCCTGACCCGGTGGTTGTAGGTCATGGGTTGAGTGCACTCGAGCATGGGATGAAGGTGCATAAAGCTGGCGTTTCCGCGAAGAAGATTGTTGTTACGCTTTAGGTGATTGGCGTTTGAATTTGTTTGGTGTGAATGATACTAGTATGACATTATTAAGAGTTCTTTTGAGTGAACAAAGTAACTAGATAGATTATTTCCTTTATCAAATCCTTTGTATACTATTTCATTCATAATCAGACATAGTTTCAGTCAATATATACTCTCCAAGAATAACGGAAATACAAGATAGAAAACCAACCCAGTCAAGCCTTGCTCTGATTACCTGCTATGGAATAAATTGTCGTACTACCCTAAGCTACTAACTATTGCTCAGTAGGCCTTCATTGGTATCTACCACCCGGGGTGACTCGTATCCTGGTTTTGGTACTGGCTGGAGTGGTCTCCATGAAACTGCTATCTTCTTCCAGATGCTTACGGACTACATCAAGGATGGCTCTATTACGAGAACTACCAATAGTATGCAATATAAAACATGTCTCCATAAAGTACTTCAATGGTCTGAGTAGTTGTCAAAATATGATCGCTAGGCTACCAAAAGCGTGAACACTCAGATTGAGCTCGATAGAGTATATTTCAGTATTTCCTCACAGCCGTCATATTTCACTTGCGCGCCATACAACACGACATGGCTTCATTTAGTATCTTCAGCAACATACTCTATCTCGACATACAGGTCTGTCATCCCTTTGAATGTCAACGAACAGCACGAGGGGGTTTTTTCTGTACCCAAAAGCAAACTTCTCATCATTCCCAGATCTTTTCCATTATTATCACTTACTCTAAACTGAACACTAGCCTTCGGTTCTAAATCAGAATGTGTCTCCTGCAAAGAGTTCTGCGGGTTCATAGTGAAAATCCACGCCGTTTCTTTGGCCCCCTCGTGCATGTAGGAGACTGGGTATAATGGGCCAAACGGTGTACCTTCTAAATAGGTGCCGTCCATGTCACAAATAGTGTAGGCACCGCCAGCAAGAACACGGCTTTTGCTATCGGTGGTGGTGATCTTACCATGCAGTTTGAAAATATATTTTTCCGATTGCAGAAGGACCCGGCGCCATTCTTTCATATTCTCTTTCAACCAGGTGACGCGTCCGGGGCCTTTTCCGCCCAATTTTATTTGATTAGCTTCCAAATGTTAGCATAATGCCATATCGCTATATCCATTATTATTGACGAGTCCTACCTATTGCCATGCTGGGCTGTGACTCAAGGGCGAGGTAATGGCCGGTCTCCGTCTCGCGGAAACGGACTTGGATAGTAGCTTCACTTATAGCCCGCTCTTTTGCTTTCTCGCCTTCTATAATTCTCGAGAATCTGTTTTTGACATCTTCGTGCCCAGGAATTTTGGCTATAATATCCTCGATTGACAGGAGGTTTTCTTGCTGTTTGTTTTACTGTCAGGATGCGTTCTTCAGGTTGGTAGGAGTATACCTATGATGTACTAACCTTGACCACTCGCCAGTTATAAAAGGAAGCCACAGTGGAACACCAAGCTGGGGGACTTTCACAATCATCAGCTTCGCCCACTTAATCAATGGAGGAGATAATATACTTATTGCAAAGCAAGGTATCGCCACCTTTAGCCTCCCATGTCATGCTCACGTTCAACGAACTCTCGCTGCTCTCCGTCTTGTTTGCACTCGACGACGCAGAGCTAGCACTAGCCGAAGCTTGGACCCATGGCGAGGAAAAGCTCAAACTGGCAGCAGCTTTCATTGCTTTTGATTTCTCAGATACACTGGTCTTTCCCAGGGCGGCCGAGTCTTCTGTTGCGTGTAGTCGACCACCCAGTTCAACGCGGGTGGCGAAGAAGGTTCCTAGATATCTTTCATTAGACATAACATTCAGTGATAAGATATATAATATATACCATATCTGGCTTTGAAAGATGTGATAGATGCCATGTCTGTAACATGGGCGAGATCATTCGCGCATTCTTCGGTGAGTTCCAGGCTTTCTTCATCAAGTTGAAGGATAACACGAGGGAACTAATCCTTAGTGTCAATTAATTCATAGAAATCTTAGAAATGAAGGACTCACATTGTAAGTGATGATCATATGCCTTGTTTCTTCACTAGTAGCCTTGCTTTCAGATCCCTGCTCCTCTGCCTTGAAGCCAGCCTGAGCCCCGGCGCTGTAACCAAAGGCTCCTCCACCACTAGTTTGGTTAGCTATACATGTCTCTGCACATAGTCCACGATAGTATCAAGTATTACTTACACAGCAACTTCAGCAGCAGTCTCAGACAAAGAACTAGAGGCAATGGCCGATGCTACAGAGGATTTATTCTCAGACACCTCGACATAAGAGTCATCTTCAACTCGAAAACGAGGGATGAACAAATGCCTCTGTTCAAAATCCATTAGTTCTTTCTTTTCCCATGGAGCTAACCTGTGGAAATAAAATACATACCGCTGGAATAACGATGTCTTTATCATCCTTTGAAGCATTAAAGTCAAGGAACAGTCGGGATCTCAACTGAAATGCTGGATACATGGCTCGTTCGACTTTACAAACGGTGCCCTTACGCAACAGTCTAACGTAACTTGCATGCAGAAGGGCATTGGTTTCCAAGACGGTATTCCATTGTCCTTGAGTCATGTCGGTGGGATGGCTTGCAAAATTTCTGTTAGTGTAGCCAAGGCTATATTGTTTGCAGGGGATAATCACACAACTGCTCCTTTACCAGCTCCAGCCATAAAGCTTGCGTGATCGTAAGAGCTGGTCAGGATGTCTGGTTTGTCCACCTTACTGATTTCTGCTTTCTGCCAGGAATTAGTTGATAGTACAAATACTAAATAAGGCATCATACATACTCGCAACTCAAGCTCTAGCTTCTCTTTCAGAAACTCTTTGGTCACATCGTTCATCTCCGAAGTCAATGCGCGAGATTTGAAATAGACAGCATATGCCTGTGATTCTGCGACTGGTTGATCTGCGCCGGGCTATCATAGTCATCAGTGACGTCCACATGGGAGAGAACAACAGTACTCACAACTTGAGTAGAATATCCCTGCTTGTCAGACTCCTCTTCCTTCTCCTCTTCGCTCTTCGTTCCACCCCTATCGAGTGACTTGATATACTCAGTGAAATGCAAGTTCTCATTCGCAACAGCCCCAACTTTGTTACAGAAGGGGGATCCTTGTCTGCAAGCTTTTTAGTATATATATTACTTCTAAGCCTTGGGAAGGGGCTAGTAATCACATACAGCCTAACGCTCAACCCATTCTCACTATTCAGCATCGCACGAATATCTTTGAGTCTCGTGCCCTGAACATTTTTGAAACTGCCCAGAGTGACGAATTTATCCATTTTGGCTTTTCCGGAGTTGTCATCATAGACGTAGATATCGAATATGGCTTGGGGGTCATTTTCATTTGCTATATGATTGTTAGTGTATATAGGAGAGAGATATAGAAGCGAGGATTACCTTCTTCAGCATCCTGAAGGGACTTTTTCAGTTTGCTCAGGTCAAGATCCTCGGGCTTCGTATGCCCTTTTTTGGATCTTGCTTCGGCTAGTAGATGCGCTCATATTGGGCAGTAATCACTTGAAAAATGGCAAGGAAAAGATTGGATATGTATCGAAAGGTCCAAGTACTTTAGCACTGGGTGAGTCCCCATATTTATATTCGGGCATAAGAGGGCAATTGCAGCCTGTGGAAGCTGGTATCCAACCGAATGTCTACCTCTGACCGCTCTTTATCATTACGTAGTTTCAACCTCTTATCCCCTCTTTCCCAATGCAGGAATCTGACCTCTCAGTTTTCAGGCCCTGGGCGTGCAGGAAAGAGGGGGGGGAGAAATTGACGTGGCCTAAGAAACTTCCGGATATCATACATTAACTGTGGGGAGTGACAGATGGAGGCAGTAAGAAGTAGGAGGGTTTCTGCTGAGTATCTCTATCAGTTCCCCCTACACGTGGCCCCTATCTTTGACTGGTAGGCTAATATACCACTTTCCATTTGATTGGCTACTATATATGCATGGATTGATGAACAGGCTATGTAGTTGCTGCCGGGTTTATGCGTATGAGCGCAACTTGCGGGGGCGATTATACCCTCAGGTTGATAGTTATATCGTATTTGGGGTTATATGCTCCAGGTTGTCTATCACACAGCGAAATCCCACCGAGCTGATGGCGGTCAGCATATTCTAGGCCTGAGCTGAACTGCTGCAGTAGTCCCCACTTAGGGTTAGCACGGCCAGTCACTGTACATGAAACCAACTTGTGTGCGGTTGATAAGAACCTTGAACAGTACTATTCACTTGACCTGAGCTTCTACTATTGCAGGATCCCGGATCTCTGGATACCACAAAGAAAATAAGTAGTGGGTACCCACATAATCAAAAGCTACATTCTCCTCAGGTTTGAAGCCTAGAGAATGATCTGCATACTTGTTTTCCTTCGTCACCACGGCAAAAGCTGATCCTGTTGGTCATAAGAGGAAATCGTTGAGATAATAAGCGGCCCATACTGTCGTTGTCGCTACATGTACTTTTCATCTCGCTGTAAACGGTGTCCTCCAAATCACGCCTTATTTTACTGGAAATGGCGTCGCAACGTATCCAGGCTATAGCTTTGGTCCTGGTCCCGAAGGTCTTGATCATCGGAAGCCTCGCCTGACTATGGAGTTTTATTATAGCTAGGAAGGCCATTGCCATGTTTATGTTTACCCCTTTGATCAGCCCTATGGTTAGAGTTGGGCATTTGTCTCGTTAGCTGCATTTTAGAGCTCTAAATACGGTAATCTGGAAGCTGAATTCATTATCTGGCGGCTGTGTGATATCGCTCGAGGCATTTTCGACGGATTGAATGCGCTGATAATCAGTTGTATATGTGCTTTATCCCACAGACACACAGTACTATATGAAGTATGATGAGGAAAATGGAAAACGTGCCACTTTCATGCCAAAAATCCACAGCTTTCCTTGCTTCCCCGGACCGTAGCTAGCTGCCAGTATTATTATTGAACCGTGGTAATGTTATTGCGGAACTTCAAGCATTGCGATGTACGAAACAACATTGCTCAGTCTTAAAATTGGTATATCTGCCTAGAGGACCTTCCCAAAAATTGAAGTATCCCAGGACTAGATCTAAACTGAGTTTGAAGGCCTCGTATACATAGATAAGATCAGCGTCTCCCAGATGAATTAGAAAAAGCAACAGTCAAACCCTTGAAGAGAGGAAGCGGCGTGCTTTTGACCAAAGCTGGGTGAACAGCAACTGGTTATTCTTGATCATGCAGGTTGAGGTCACTCTACAGCTCTTATGGAAGTCTACTTCTAGCTGTTAATTATCTACCCCGGGAGTTCAATTGAAGAATTCGGATTTAGTAAAGCTGACTAAAATAAACAGGTAACTAACTAAAAGCAAGAGACTCCAATTCTTGTCCTTCATATAATGAGTTTACGATTTGGAGGATGGCTATGATCAATATGTAGTTTCTAGACTTTGAGTCCCTGTCAACCCTGAACATCCCATAAATCAGAAGAGAAACACCTCGAAAGATACAGGAAGAAATAATTATTGTTCTGAGAATATCCAGGTATCCAATACCGCTAATTACATTACAATTTAGATACTTGAATAGGGCTATACCCAGAGGAGACCAGTCTGAATCCGGCTGATATCGCCTGGATCACACCTTCTATACTAGCTATATGCCTGAGTCCGTGGCATGTGGATAGCTCTATCGTACAGTCCATATACATCAGAAGGTCTGAAAATCCTTGAGAACCTCTTTAGAGTCAAAACCAATCCATATGTGTATATAATTCTAAGATTCTATTGCTCTACTTGAATGCTACTAAAGAACTATGGGCTGCATATAAATCACTCCATAGAGGGTAGGCGGTAAAGGAAGCTAGCAGAGGACCCACCGGGAAAGCTTTTCTCCACCGCCGACAAGTTTTCTCTTGCGTCCCTCAACAGAAAGAAGCTCCAGTTTTCACTCATTATATATTCATTTCTTCTTTTCTTCGTGCCATTGTCCTGAAATGACAAGCACACTTCCAGCCCTGGCCATTCCAGGCCAACGTCTGGGCCCAGTGACCTCCTACACAGCCGGTCCAGGCACCCACGTACAACAGTCCAATGTCTACGCCTCCATCGCCGGCCCAGTCGTCGTTGAACCGGCGCAACCAGGCTCCAAAGCCAAGGCTACTCTAAGCGTCTCTCGTTCCATCAAGGCTCCTGGAACAGGCAATGCCCCCAAACCCGTACCCACAGCAGCTGGCGCCAAACCCAAACAGAAATATAACACCCTCCCCGCAGTCGACTCGGTGGTGCTGGCGCGCGTGACCAGGGTCCAGAAACGTCAGGCTACTGTGTCTATTCTCGTTGTGCTGGATGAATCGGGCAGCACCCAGGGTGTCAATCCCTCACAGACGACATCCGATAACGACAACATCGAAGCGATTCTCTCCTCCGCCGCCAATCCCGAGAACCATAGTAGTTCCGACGAGCTCCGCTTCCAGGCTCTTATCCGGAAGGAAGATGTGCGTGCTGTTGAGAAGGACCGCGTCGTGATGGACGAGATGTTCCGCGTTGGTGATATTGTGCGTGGAACTGTTATCTCCCTCGGTGACCAGAGTTTCTACTATTTGACGACTGCACGCAACGACCTGGGCGTTGTTATGGCTCGTAGCGAAGCCGGCAATATGATGTTCCCCGTTAGCTGGAAGGAAATGAGAGATTCTGTCACCGGTCAGGCGGAGTTGAGGAAGGTGGCAAGACCGTTTTGATCGACTTGATACCAGCTGAGGGCATTCGTCGGTTGATTTACTGATGCTTCTTGCCCCCACACTTCATTATCATCACGAGGCTGAGAAAGGCTCGTATGTCGTGTCCCTTTCTTGGTACTTCGGAGAGTCGCGTGCCGGCACAGAGGGCTGGAGAGATCCGTTGTCCCTCTCTCTTCCAGAAGAACTTGCCGCGCCCTGCTCGGAACTGTCTTGGACAGACTATTCGACTAGAGTTGAGATGCTCTGGACTTTTCCACGGAGCACATGCTCCATCACCTTGCATACTATTGCTGTACATATCAGAAGTACTGAACCAGTGCTTCGCGCTTCACATTCAACGATGTGTGACGAGTTACGAACAAGCCAATTAAAGAGAATATAATAACTCTGACCTTTTAGACAGCCCTGAGAAATTAGGCGCTCAAAGCGCTGTTTGTGTACACCTCTAGTACCCATGGTTCTGGCCTTTTCAATGCTGAACTGCGTTTGTCACCGGAGGAAGATAAACGGTATCTCGGGTGGGGAAATACTCATCCTCGCAACCCTCGCTATGATTCTCCCTTCTCTTATTTTGGGAATTGGAGCTGCTGTAATCAAGGGTACAATGATTTCAAGAACACGTAGTTACACTCGATTTGATAATAGAACTGTTCTAACGATTCAAATAACTTTTTCTTCGTACTGTATGTACATGTATACCAAGTGCAATATCCAATTGCTTCATCTATCGTACCGTAAATCCACACAGGTATAAACAACGAAACCGCTTTTACTTCTTCAGCGTCTTCTGCTTCTCCGCATCAATCAATTTCCTTCCCTGCACCACCAGCCCCTTTCGAGTCCTCACTGCATCCATATACCGCTTCGCCACGTTCTCCCTGTCGGCTAACTCGCCCAGATCCTCCAATTCTTCCTCGGTAGCTGGGACCCAGAAGGGGTCTTCGTCCAGGGCTTCGAACCCCGCGAAGATAAGTTGTGGCTGCGCTGCACCGGAGGTTCGCTTACGAATCTCCTCGGCGAATCCGAAAGACTCGGCAACGGGGAGCAGGGCCAGGATTGTGAAGAACGGTGTTCCTTCCTTCATAGTCTCGGACAGGATGCGACCGCGACGTCGGGTTATTACACCGTAAACACGGCCGAGTACTTCAGCTGTTTTGAGTCAGTATATACTCGTGTAACTTGGGTGGGGTAGGGTTGGTAAAGAGGGTGCGTACTCGATGCTTGAATTTCACAACTGTACATTGCCAGCATGATTCGGGGACTCCAGTCGAGGAATCCCTGAGAAATGCTCTCACGGACCAGTCTGATTGCCTCGCCCGTCAAACGACCGAGATCAAGCTCTTCCTCGCTGGCATTGACAGCTATCTCTTCTAAGAAGACGGCCGTTCCTTGCATGGGCTCTTGACAGAGAGGACCCTGGCCGGTTGCCAGTTGGAAGGCATATGTGATCTTGTCACAGAAGTCACGCACGATCAGGGCTTCGCGGCTGCTGGTTTCTGTGTTGACCGTGGGCTGTTGTTTGGGGTCTTCCAGCAAACTGTTTCTTGTTAGTCCATGTCATGCGTGAATGTTGCAGGGTTTCTGGATTGGACTTACAATTTCTCGCACGTGTTGACTGCGGTGGCATCGACGAGGATGTTCGGTCCCACTCGTCTTGGGCCGAAGGCAGTGATTCTATCCACGACGTCCTTCCACAGGTCCTTGTCTTCTTTTACTTCTTCGTCGAAGATCTTGTTCAGTTCGTCCCTGAAGTCCTTGAGGGAGAGTATACTTCCTTCGCGGGCTTCATCTGTTGCATCACCCGTCTCTACCTGCTGTGTCCCCTCTGGGGTTCCGTTGGCTGCCTTGTCCTCTGCTGCTGTGTGCCGCTGAGATTGTAGTCGTTTGATAGTTCCGACATGTTTAGTAAAGTAGTCAGTCACAGCTTCAGGCAGAGGCACAACGCGTAGCCGGATAGACAACTGCTTCGATGCTGAAACTGCCAGAACACCTCCCCGTCCCAAATCTGGGTTCTTCGGTGCAGCCATTTCCGGTGCACTGACGATGGTCTCGCGGTATGGTACGATTGTCTCGCCGGTCTGGATGTCGCATTTGGCAAAACGTTCGCGAAGGTCCTTTAAGCAACGCTCGAGATGCAGTTCGCCGGCTGTCAGGATGACATGCTCACCGTTGGGGAGCACATCGTACTGCGCGCATGGGTCGCTTTGTTCCAGGAGTCGCAGACCGGTGACCATCTTGCCCAGATCGGCAGGGTTGGCTGGTTCAAGAGCGACTCGTACGATAGGTGGAGTATTGAGGGAAACACCAGCCAGGTTAATACTTCCTTCGAGCTGTGAGCACAAGGTTCCGGTCTTCAACACATGGCCTGCAAGGCCTCCGATGCCAAAGATAACGCCGGCGGGGACAGACTTGAGCGGCTCGAGACTTCGTCCCATAAGAAGATACAGGTCTGTGACAGTCACCTTCTGTGGCACGGGAGACGCATTCGGGGTTTCCGGTGAGAACTTCGGGGCGAGGACGTAGACAGAATCACCCACTGAAAGAGTTCCTGAATATAGTCGTGCAAAACCTATCAGGTGCTCTGGGTCTTCCTTCTCGTCCTCTTCCGGCGCTTGGTTATTGTCGTCCATGGTAACATTTTCAAAGGCAGAAGTGATTCGCGCATAGCCGTCGTCCTGCTGTTCACCATTGGCCTCCGCTTGCATTTTGGCTATTTCTTCTCTCTTTTTCCGAGCAATCTCTCGGGCCTCATCCGCGGACATGGTCGCACCGGAACGTTTCTTGCTTGAAGACAGTTCACTTTCTGGAATGGCAACCATCTTGCTGACATATGCTACCACAGGTTCATCCGAACTCGTCTTGAAATTGATCATTGCATCTTTCACTTTTTTGTCCGCAAAGTCTGAGCCAGGTGACTCTTCAATCAAGGCCGGTAACCGGGCTTCTTGGGCAGCTCGGGGACTAGGAAGATATTCAATAACAGACACGAGCACTGCAGTTGAAAGAGGGAGCCACATAGAGAATAGTGTTGTCATTATATTCCTCGGATCCCGAGATCGTAGAATATATGCCGGAATGTTGATATTCAGAGATTTTGTGATTTTCTCCAATAGAGCAGGGTCACTGTCAATTGTCAGTCAACAAAATATACCCAAGTGTACAATATATCATACCCTTTTCCTTTACCTCCACCCGTGGTAGCTTCGTATGCAGCCCAGATACTGTCTAAAACCAATTGAACGAACATCGGCTTCAAAGCTCGTCCTTTAAGATGTTTTTGGCCCAGAACTCGCTTTGTCTTGGGGTCCAAGTAGTAGTCTCCCCAGAGGACTTTCTCGAGAATTGCACGCTTGATCCCGAGCTTCTTTTCGTAAATAGCGGCGAATTGGCGGATAGTGAAGGCCCATCCGTCCACAGCACTGCAAAAGATGACATTGTTCTTCTCAGGGGCAAAGTAAAGGTCCTCATCATCTCGCTCTACATATTCAGCAGCATCTGCACTGGTAGATTCATCATCGTGCGTTTGCTTCTTGGTGCGATCTTTCTCGGCCGCCGCATTGGCGCGTTCTTCCATGCGCTCTCGCCACTGGAGATCTTCCTCCATTCGCTCACCTTGGTAGAAGCTACCGATGACTGCATTGACCTGCTCCAACAGCTTGCTCATATGCGAGTAAGCTTCGCTGGGGCTCATCTTTAATTCAGTAACCAGTCTGTCGATCTTATTTATAACCAGGATTGGTTTCAACTGCTCGACCCAGCTCTGACGCAGTACAGTGACTGTCTGACTGCACACACCCTCTACAGCATCGACTAAGACAATGGCCCCATCACACAGACGAGAAGCTGTTGAGACCTCGCTGCTGAAGTCGATATGTCCCGGGGAGTCGATAAGGTTGATCAAGTACTCTTTGGCTACCGGCGCAGCGTCGGGAGCAGGACGACGCATCATCGAAAAGAACAGAGAGATGGCCGACGACTCCATGGTAATACCTCGAAGCTGTTCATCCGGACGAGAATCCAGATAGCGGATCTTGCCCGCCAGCTTTGGTGAGATGATGCCATTGGTGGCGATAAGGCTATCGGTTAGAGATGTTTTGCCATGATCCTATAACCACGTAAGTTTTCTAGAATTAATATCAAATAACTTTCCGTCGGGCTGAGCAGCCGTAGCTACTTACAACATGAGCTAAGATACATATCTGCGATGGTGGTTAGCTATGGGTATCCCGATATGAAGGAACTCGTGACATCAAAGTGGGATGATGGAGGGGCTACGTACATTCCGTATGTCATCGGGTTTTTGTTGAAGACGGACCAGATCCTCGACGTTTACGACGGGCATTTTGGAAATCGGCTGGTGTTAGTGACCAACCTGAATCCGAAAAACCAGATCAAAGGTCTCCAAGTAGTTAGAATACGTCTGAGTTGGTGTCCCGCGTACTGCGGAAGAATTGAATTCTATGACAAAAAAGGAAAAAATATATTGGCGGAAAAGCCAAAGCTTTTCAACAACCAGAGAATTACCGCAAAATATTGCGACTATGGTTATTATGAGGCTATAATTGGAGAACAGTGTCTGGAAGCGTGCATCTAAAGTATTTTTCATTGATTATTAATTATTTTCAGGCTGTTATGGAATATGACGACTATTCTACTGGCGCCCGAACTAAAAGAGGGCTTTGCCGCATAATATGAGTCAAATCGAGACACTATGACTGGGTATTAATCATTCCTCGTCAAACGAGAGCTTGATTTTCTTCTTCTTTTGCTTGGGCTTCCGAGATCCAGTGTCTTTCGGCTGTATTTCTTCTTTCTCTGCTGCAGGCTCTTCTTCGCCAATAACCTTCGCCTGCTTTCGCTTCTTCGGCCCTCCTATCTCTGCCATGTTCTGTTTCGATATGGGCGCTTCTTGCGTGGTACTTGCCTTATCCTGTTCATTATCTTGGGATGTGGTTTGTTCCGGGTCTGGTTCTCCTTTCCCCGTGTCCTCGCCTTCCTTATTACTCTCGCGAACGAGCGCTTCATACTCCTCTTTTGATATCACTTCGTTGCTCTCTTCATCAACATAGGTAGGGTCGTCATCGTCATCGGCATCTTTTAGTTTTCGGGGTCGAGCAATTGGGCGCTCAAGGCGACCGGAGGTGTCTCCATATTGGTTTCGAAGTCGCTGTAAGAATGCCGGTTCTTTCGCCTCTATTTTTAGAGTATCAGTCCAAGCTCTGTGTAATGGTGATACGGAGCCAACATACCATATGCAAGATTCTTTGATTTGAAGGACATGTTTGAATAGTCCCACAGCAAATTGTTAGTTTAGACTCCGCCAGACAAAATAACAAGGGATATATCGCTACCGCGACATATAATATTCAAGCAAAGAATCAGAGTAGTGCCTCAATTCTTATATCCTCCGGCTATCGCTGGAATATGGAAGAGGAAAGCTTGGACGGGACAGACAAGTTCCGTCAATGATAGGTTGTTCTAGTAGCTGCGATCGCCGTCTTAAGCAGGCACTGTCGCAAAGCTGGAAGAATAAATAAGTGTATAGGAGAAATGAATATAACGAATTAAGAGGAACAGGGTGGACTTGGACTTGATCGTTTGCGCATGGTTGCTTGCCGCCAAGAGATCTGCGGCTAAACCCAAAAGATAGGCGGAGCGTCGAAAAGTCCAAAGGAGCCGCAGCTGTCGTGGTGAAGAGCAACATCTCTCTCCCTCCTCACATCCATCCATCTTCCAGAAATACCATGCTGTGTGCAAGTGAGTAGCAAGTATCATATATTTTTTACATTTCTATGGAAAACTGACGGTAATTGATGACAGTCTCGGGAGAGGCACCACAAGTGCCCGTCGTCTCGCCCAAGAGCGGTATGTTGCAGCCTCGAACAGCACCCACACCGTATCTAACGTCCTTCAGGCAGCGTCTTTGAGAAGCGCCTCATCGAGGCATACATCGCCGAAAATGGGAAAGATCCCGTGAACGGAGAGGAGCTTTCTACCGACGACCTTATCGAGGTCAAGTCCCAGCACGTTGTTCGACCCCGTCCCCCTACACTCACCTCGATTCCTTCTCTACTCAACGTGTTCCAAGAGGAATGGGACGCCCTTGCCCTGGAGACATACACACTGCGACAGACATTGGCGCAAACGCGTCAGGAGCTGAGTACGGCTCTCTACCAGAACGATGCGGCGGTCCGCGTGATCGCGCGCTTGACCAAAGAGCGGGATGAAGCCCGTGATGCGCTCTCTAAGGTGACCGTCGGCGCTACACGCGCTGCTGGCGGTGAAGCTATGCAGGTTGATTCAACTGGACTGCCTGAGGCGGTTTTGTCACGTGTCGAGAGTACACAAGCAGCGTATGTACAAATAGTGTGGTTTGTGAATCCTGACCCCGTAACTAATTGCATATAGGCTCTCTAAGACTCGCCGTAAGCGCGCTATACCGGAAGACTGGGCAACCAGCGATGCTATCTCCACATACAAGCCCGCTCAAAACACCGAGCCCCTCTACCCCGGTGGCAAGGCACTGTCTGTCAACGCTTCCGGGGAGCTTGCCCTTGTTGGGGGCGCCGACAGCGCTGTTGGTGTTTACTCGCTGTCTCAGAAGCAAGTCGTACAAAGCTTGCAAGCAAATGGCCCAGTTACCGACGCTGTCTGGGCAGGTGATAAGGCCGTCGTTGCTTCGTCTACCGGCTCAGTGAAGGTTTTCGAGAACGGCAATGAAGTTGCTGAATTCAGCTCTCATGCCGGTGCAGCTACGGCGCTCGCCCTGCACCCTACTGGCGACATTGTCGCTTCCGTTGGCGCAGACAAGAGCTATGTGCTTTACGACTTGACGACCAACTCCGTGATTACGCAGATCTTCAGTGACGCATGTGAGTAAAACCCCGCCAATCCCAGTACTGGACGAATCTTAATTTTCATCTTTAGCTCTTCTTTCCGTGAAATTCCATCCCGATGGCCATCTTATTGCTGCCGGTGGCGTCGATGGGCAGATCAAGATTTTCGATGTGAAGAACGGCTCGTCTGCCGCTAATTTCACTCTGTCTGGACCTGTCAAGTGCTTGTTCTTCTCTGAAAACGGCACATTCATGGCCGCAGTCGCCGAGAGTTCTACGGTTGTTTCTATTTGGGATCTGCGCAGTGCATCAGAAGTCAAAGCTCTGGAAACCGGCAGCCAGATTGATTCTATCAACTGGGATTACACCGGACAATTCCTACTCACTGGCGGACCTAGCGGGTTGACCGTCCAGCAGTACACCAAGTCAACTAAGTCATGGTCAGAGCCACTGCGAAGTGCTGTGCCTGCAGCTGCCGTGGCGTGGGGGGTTGCAGCTCAAAGCATTGTGGCTTTGAACCGTGACGGTGGAATCACAGTATTGGGGGCCCAGTAATAATGATACCTTTCAGAGAAAAGCAAAGCATTGAGTTTGTACTTTTAGTTCTTGAAATTATGGATGCTGTTTTTCACCTGAACTTCACAGTTGGGAGAGAGAAGAACTGAAAGAATAAAAGACAATAGATTACTGTCTTGCATGTACTGCTGTTACCCGGTGTTGAAATTAACACATACCAGAACATGTTAGCGGAAACCGTCACATTAATAATATGTCGTTTCAGCCGGTGATCGGGATCTAATTTAGGAGTAGATCTGGTGACATGGGGGGGGTTCAACTCTCTTTTTTTTTCCGTATTTCCTTCCTTCTTGCCCTTTTACTTATCTTATCGGGTACTGAACTACCGGTGGCCAACTATTGAAGAGGGCGGCATATCATGTCATCTCTCCACCGCAAGGACTCGGCTCCGGACTTATTACATTGGACGATTAGGAACTCCTCCGCCAGCTGTATCTCTCCTTCGATTTCGACTCTCACGCCTCTCTCACCCCCTTCCTCTTCATACTTTCCAGCCATTCGGTTCTGACCCCTGCTGGACTTCAGCCCAAGCAATTTGACATGAACGACGACTCAGGTGTGCAGTTTGTGGCTGCAAGGCCGAGAAAGGTTCGCCCCATATCTTTCCGTTGCCTTCAAGAGGAGGGGCATCCATTGTGCCAATATTGAGAGATGGGAGCTTGCTGACGATTATCATGAAACTACAGCGTAATCACCGACAAATGTCCCGAACATCTCATTCACCCAGTCGCCGTTTCTTTTCACAAAATGGGGAGCCATCGTCCTCCAGAGCTCCGCCCAACCAGTTGCCACCCATGAGATACGCTGGGGACGGTCTCGATTTGAGGAGGCCTGTCGTTTCGGCTTCCCCCCAGACAGATGAAGTGATCGATTTGACAAATGAACCGGACTCGCCTCCACTGCAGCGAGATAGGAGTGCTCGGGCAACATCGCGGCGACCTAGACAACCCCGCTTCGGAAGGGATATCATGGCAGATGTCGTGGACCTAGAAGATGAGCCGGATAATACGATTGATCTCGACATTCCTAGCAGTCCAGAAGTTCAATTCGTGGGCGCCAGCGTTCGACCCCAGTTACCTCGACCTTCGCCACCACAGCCCAGAGGCTTTGATTTCGGCACCGGGCTTGTACGGTTCCTACGGTTAGACGACCCCAGGGTTCAGCACTTTCCTGGCAGAGGGTTATTTTCTAGGGATCCTGGATGGAGAACGAGGGGCCTCCGCCGCCCGCCACATGATATGGAGACATTTTGGATCGGAGATAGACCGGGCGGAGCAGTTGATCTAACGATCAACTTGGATATGGACGGTCCGCTAGCAATGGATTACCAGATCCCAGGATTTTCACCTGATCGAGTGTCACGGCCAACGTACAAGCCACCTAGCCCGCCGCCGGAGGGTTTTGCAAGGAACGTCAAAGAAGACGAGGTCGTTTGTTGTCCGAATTGTGATGCAGAGCTCGGGACAGGTGATGAAGTTCAACAACAGATTTGGGTGGTGAAACAATGCGGACATGTTCGTATCCCCATGATGCCCTTTGTGCGAACAGGCTCTGACACCTTATCCAGGTTTATTGCGGGCAGTGTGCCACCCACAGGTCCAAATCAAACGCTAAGAAGGCATCGCTGCCTGTAAAGCCGTTTTCTAAGTGTCAAGTGGCGGATTGTGAGAAGTCTGTCAGTGCACCAAAATCGATGTTCCAGATCTATTTATGATACATATATTCTCTCCTCCCCATGGTTTATACAGAGTTTGCATGATTCCGGTGTTAGGCGGGCGGTTACTTGGTCTGGTTTACTACTTCGATACCCTTATTGCATTGATGGTTGATTGGATGGAATGGATTGCTAGTAGATCTGGTTACTACTAGCTACGGAACCCTGAGTACATTTTTGGTTAGTTCGCAACGGTCTGAATAGGTTGCGAGTCCTCTTAACCTGAAAATAATTTTTAAGATCAATGCATTTTGTACATACATATGCTACATACTCTTCGAACATAAAAGCATTGGTTTCCCCGAATAAAACAAATAGGCCCATAATACATTGTATGAATATGACAAGCTGGAAGCGTCGCAATCCAGAACATAACACCGTCGCAGTAAACCCAAAAACACCGCTTTAGACAGTCTTGACGTCTCCGTGATACGGGGACCAGATGCCTCTGACACTCTCGTTGATACTTGTGACGGGCTTCTTGGTACGCTTCAATTTCTCGCCGCTGGCCTCCTTCAGCAGGTTCGCCTTCTGAAAGATCTGTTCGGGCTCGAGATTGCGAACACAGACGGCCTTCTCACGCCCGTTGATATAGTGGCCCTTGATTACGGGGTGCTTGTGTGGTCGTGGCGATACGCGGATTTCAATCTGAGGGTTGGCTTTGGCGAAGGAGGGAAGAGTGTTCTTCAAGAAAGCTCTGGTTTAAGACCACCATTAGCATCAATAACCAACTACCACCTTGTATGGAAATTACATACACCATTCCGCGGGAACTGCCAGCCCAGTCGCAGTAGTGAAAGTCCAAACGCTTGCATTGCAGAATAAAGGCACCCACGCCGTTCTGCAAACAATTAGCTATTGGGGTACCACGGACCCAGCTTTGGAGAATCTATGCATACCCTGGCAGTGGTAACTGCTCTAATTCCTTGTACAGGCATTTCTGCAATTCTGTATTTGATTGATACAGCAAGTCGAGAACCGGTCCACGGAGCGATAGTTCACTTTTCAGCAACTCCGGGCATGGCTGTCATTGGCCCGCGGCTATCCCGCCTAACGCGCCTAGCGGCTTCCAGAACTGCAAGTGAGCTGCCAAGTCACGGAGCAACGCGAACTTGACAAACGAGACCTGCGGTATTGTCTCAGAATAATTCCAACGCTCATCATTGCTTGTGCCCATTGCGCATGGGAATTAGACCCTCATTTTGTCACACTGTGTTTTACTACTAACTGACTGAGGGCACAAAGATGACGGACAAGCTCCCCCCTCCGCTCCTCGCCCTCTTTCAGCCTCGTCCACCCTTGCGCTATGTTACTCCCATTGACCGTGCACCAGAGGACTGTAAGAAGAGTACACTCGGCGGTGTCGCACAGTTTCTCCCCGACTTGAAGGAGTATGAAGAGGAGTACCCCTACAATGCTACAGAGAGTTGGATCCAGCGCAAATTGCGACAGAAGCAGGAGAAAAAGGAAAACATCGAGAAACATTTGACGGACGGCATTCATACATGTGTGTTATTTCCATTAACTCTGTAGAGACATCTGAGCGCATGGATACTAACCCCTCTAGTCGACCCTGCGAACGACCCGCAAGCTCGAGGCGACCCCTTCAAAACACTTTTTGTTTCCCGTCTTAGTTACGATGTCAAGGAGTCCGATCTTGAAAGAGAGTTCGGCCGATTTGGACCTATTGAGAGGGTAATCCTATTACAATCCTGTCTATTGCTTTTCTTTTTGTTTCTCTTATACTGATGTCATTGACTCTATCCAGATCCGTATCGTCAAAGACACTGTAACCCCGAAGGGTTCGAAGAAGCCGCACAAGGGGTACGCTTTTATCGTTTACGAGCGCGAGAAGGACATGAAAGGTATTACTGCAAATGATCAACACCTTTATTGGCCACAGGTATCTGCGTCTTGAGAGCGTTTTGCTGACATGATATGCTTCTGATTGTTCCAGCCGCCTACAAAGAGACGGATGGCATTCGTATCAAAGACCGACGTGTCTTGGTTGATGTAGAACGTGGTCGCACTGTCAAGGGCTGGAAGCCTCGGCGCTTCGGCGGAGGTCTTGGCGGCCGTGGTTACACCAAAGCCCTGCCTTCGCGCCCTATCGGCCCCGGCTCATTCGGTGCTCCCTCTGGACCTGGAGGCTACGGCGGTGGCTTCCGTGGTGGCTTTGGTGGTGGTAGAGGAAGGGGGGGCTTCCGCAACGAACGCTTCGGGGGTCCTCGTGGTGGTGTCGGATACCAAGGAGGCCGCAATGGGTTCGGCGGAGGCGGACAAGCTCCGCCAAACGCACCATCTGGCCCCGGCGGTGGAAGAAGCGGTGGTTTCGGCGGCAGGTTTGGTGATCGTGATCGGGGCGCAACCGGAAGCAACCGTGAACCGATAAGGCCAAGAGATGGCTTCTCCGAGCGCGATCGAAGGGATGACCGGGACCGCGATGGTGGTGACCGTCATCGGGACCGCGACAGGGACAGCTACCGTTACCGGGACCGTGACCGCGAGCGCGAGCGGGGTGACCGTGGTGACCGTGGTGGTGACCGTTACGGAGGCCGGGAGGACTACGGACGCAAGCGATATCATGAGGATGATGCATACGATGACCCTCGCGCCAAGAGAAGATACTGAATACCTACCTTGCGAAGGATTTCCCCCATTTAGTAGACAACCATGGTTTGCTGGTGGGTATTTCTGATCGATCTTCCAGTTTCTCTCATCGTCTGTTTTGGCAATGGGTAAGGCAAGGTCCACGCCGATCATTCAGGTCTCCTCCCTTCAGGCTTGACCATTACTTACAACAGTCGAAACATTATGCATCCTCATCTCAAGCCGGAACCGAGGTATCTATATACACCACTGGGATCTCATCATGATTTGATCCTTGGAATGGCCGTTTCATTCCCGGAGCGTCGACGTCTACTGGAACCGGACACTTGGTCGCGACCCCTTTCTTACTGTTTTCCTTATCGAGTTCTTCTTCTGCTTGCTTGCATGTCCTTCTACCCTGTCAATTTCTTCTTCCCCAGGGTTTGCACTGCTCTTTACGGGGTAAGTATGTACTTTAGGTAGTCAACTTCTTCGGTGGATTCATGGAGGTGTTACGGGGGTCAGGTAAGAAGATCAGGTAAGGTTTCTGCAACAACAAATAACCGATGCCAGGTATCTTCGTACAGTGTAAATCAAGGTAATGGTCGGAATAGTCCTATTTTATGCTCATGTAACATCCCGATATATAGTCACCGTAGGTTTATTTATAGTAGGATTTTAGCTTGGTATTTATGTATGTCCATCATACGCTCATCCAGCAATGAATAACCCGTCGTACACGGGAACCACTCATAACAAGAGAAAGAAAAAAGAAAGCAGTAGTAAAGCAAGCGCCAATACCTAACTCCAAGAAATGCCCAGGGGATTTCGTCGAAGAAGAGAAGACAAAAAAAAGAATCAGAACAGACTTTTTTTTCTATAACCCATAATTTTCCCCACCTCACTGCTCAATCTCCATACCACTCTGGTCCTTCTCTAGAATCTTCACCTCTCCACTTTCCCGGGCCCAGCGGGCCTTGAGCGCAACATGGAACTCAGAAGTAGCGACACCGAACATCTTGAGCAGTGTCGTCTGCCGCGAGTCGAGAACCTCTCCCTCCCGGCAAACGGGGAATGCCTCCTGGCCACCGGTCAACTCGAGCATAACCTTGCCCTTGACGAGACGAGTGGGAACGCCCAGCTTGCGCAGCTCGGGCTCGATCGTGTGGCTGACTGGCTCGTCCTCCGAGGCGGGGATCTCGCCGGCTCGCGAGTACACAAGGCCGTTGGGGATGCTGAAGGACCGGGTGCTGACGGTGCCGGCACGGGCAAAGTCCAGGGGACGGAAGGAGTTGAAGTAGTTGGTGACAGACTCGGGGTCGCGAGAGGTGAAGAGGAGACCGACGGCACCGGTCAGATAGGGGACGAGCTTGTGCAGGTTGGTGGCTGCTTCGGATTCGGGGTTGTGGCCCAGTGCCACGGCCATGACTTTGGTCTTGCCGAAGAAGAGACTGCTTGGATGTTAGCTATCGATCGTTGAAATCTTCATATATTGATATTTAATCCAATTCCCCGTCTTCATGGGCAAAACAGGTTCAATATCAAAATATGGACAATCCCCGCAAGGTGCAAAAAGTGGGAAATTCAAACTCACCGGCTATCGGCGAATTCAGTGCGCACATCCTTCAGGTAGGTATTGCGCATGTTGTCAACTCCGAAGACGAAAAGATGATTGTAATTCTCGACACATTCACGGATGTTGGCGTACAGGCGTCTGGTCTGTTCCTTGTGGGACTTTTTGGCGGTCTTGGTCTCGTGGACGACGCGGGCACGCTTGGAGCGAGGCATTGTGGCGGACTTGTGAGTGGAAAATTCGAAAACCCGATTGAAATTTTATTGATAGTCCTGCGATCTTGGACCCAGTGGAGGGGGAAATGGGTTATATACAAGCGCGGAAATGGGTCGACTTGGAGGAGTTCGAAAATCAATTATTTTTTTCTTCACTGATAACAGTCGGAATATTGTTGATGCGGGGCTTATCCGATTAGATCTAAACTACATGGGGAAATAAGCTGTGAATGCCTCCGCCGACTGACATACCACTCACTCTCGGGTAGACCGTTGGCATGTTCTCAACTTAGTCCATGATGATCTAGCTGGGGGGTGCCGGGCTTGATTCTCTCTTGACACTACTATATCAACTACTGTCATTGGCCGACAATGCTCGACTTCATGGAATATATCCAACTCGCGTTCGCCGAGGGGACTAACTGGAACCGCGACAATTCATACTCGTCGCTGACGGCCACAGCCCAGTGTATGTACCAATGTCTTCTCTCTTACTCTTTAAAAAAGATCCTCCTCACTAACGATGTCGCAGCCCTCCTGGATTTCTCAACCCCCGAGCGTCTGCGTGTGCATCTCTCCTCGCTATCCACCCCCAATTTCGCAACCAGCTACACCCTCGGCACAGTAGGCCTAATCGACGGCTCAGTCTCTTACCTCTACAGCACCGTCCCATTCACCAATACACCAAGCCGAAGTGCCTTGATCCCCCTTCGCAAACTATCCCCAGGCTACCGCCAAGTAACGCCCCCAGTTGCCCCAATCGAAGACTGGAACTGGACCTCAATCCTCGACAACCCCCAAAATGTCCAGCCGTCGTTCGCCAGCAAGCCCACTCTCCTGCACGCAACACTACACCTCCCGCCGCCAACAACCCTAAACGCCCTTTTCCTGCGTCGCATCTCCCCAACTATGCAACTAACACTAGCGGTCTGCTCGACGAGAGGCCCCCCGCTCTCCAAGTCCGCGCCACAGGCATCCCTCCTCACGCAATTGTCACACGACACAGGCAAATACAGCAACGAGTACCTCTTCAGCACAGATAATGCGCTATTCGGCTGGCGAGGGCTATGGAACTTCGGACCCGACCCCAGGTTCGCGACGGAGACCACCGCGTCGCGCCTCTCGCTTCTATCAGCTGGTGCGGAGGCATATTACTCGCCTGTGTCGTCGCTCATTGGCATGTCCACTGGTCTGAGATTTAGCACCCTCCCCGCTGCGACGGATGTACCTGCGTCAGCGGCTACGGGGTCGGCGACGGCGAACCAGAATACTCCCATCTCTACGTTCCCGTATACGCTTACCTTAACCCTGACACCGCTAACTGGTTCCCTGTCGACGACGTATTCGCTCCGTGCGTCGCCTAATCTGGCGTTTAGCTCGCGTTTCGGGTTCAATGTTTACAGCTGGGAGAGTGAGATGGTGGCTGGTTGTGAACTGTGGCGGAAATCGAGGAAGCGTGATGAAGATGATGGGTTGGAATGGGCGAGACGGAAAATGCGCGCTTCGGAGCCTCTGTCTTTGCCTTCTTTGCCTGCTGAGCCTAAGAAGAGGCAGGAAGAGGAGGAGGCGACGGACTCTGTTCTGAAGATTCGGGTCGATCAGTCGTGGAATGTACGGGTCCTCTGGGAGGGGCGCGTGAAGGAACTGCTGGTGAGTGCTGGGGTAGGATTGGGGCCGAGTTCGTTCTCGTCTTCTTCGTGGGCGACTGCTGCGGCTGGATCGGGGCAGAGCAGCGGCGGCGGGGGTGTGCCGTCGTATTGGAGGGGCGTGGGTGTCTCGGTACTTTATTCTTCTTAATTTCTATTCAACTGTTTGGTTTCTTAGATAATGGGCGTTGGGTCCGTTGTATAAGGAAACAAGCTTTTGGCACAAATGTATATAATTAGTGTTAACTAGAGCGGGATAGATGAACTGTCGGATAAATTTTCGTGTGAAAACTTCTATATTGATTTTGATATTTGGCTCATAGAACTATTTTCGAAACCGTCATAAATTTATCAGTGAAAGAACCAGAAAGTGATTATAGCCTATATTAGCACCCTCAACTCGCTTACAAACGAGCATTGATGATATCAACGACTGTTATTGAACGTTAGCAGCTTGCCAATACGCAGAACCGGGGACGAAAGGAACGTACAAGCAGGCTTCAAGCTGGCACCGCCAACCAGGAAGCCATCTACATCGGCCTCCTTGGCCAGCTCGCGGCAGTTCTTCTCGCTGACGGAGCCACCGTAGATGATACGGGTGTTCTCGGAGGCCTCGGGCGAGATGGCCTCGGCGAGCCACTTGCGGATGGCGGCGTGGACCTCCTGGGCCTGCTGGGTGGTAGCGACCTTGCCGGTACCGATAGCCCTGTTGCACTGTTAGCATCACAGTCTAGGGTGATGTGATATCAAGGAATAAGGCACTGACCAGACGGGCTCGTAGGCAATGACGACCTTCTTCCACTGCTCCTTGGTGAGTTCCTTGGCGGCAGCGTTGAGCTGCTTGGTGACGATCTCAATGGTCTTGTTGGCCTCACGCTCCTACAAGATGTTAATCAAACCAGATCATGCAAATTTCCCCAATAGGGAAGGTCGAGCGCGGAAAGTGGACATGTGAGCCATACCTCAAGAGTCTCACCGATGCAGAAAATGACGCTAATGCCACCCTCAATGGAAGCCTTAACCTTACGAGCAATGAACTAAAGCCAATTAGTCACTCAATTGCTGACAGACGTGCCGCAGGATGAAGAATAAACATACCTCATCGGTCTCCTTCAGGATGACACGGCGCTCGCTGTGTCCAATGATGGCCCAAGGGATCTTGGCATCCTGCAGCTGGGAAACCGAGATCTCACCGGTGAAAGCACCGTTGGGCTTGTCGAAGACGTTCTGGGAGGAAACAGCAACCTTCTTCTCATCGGCGACCTGCTTGGCGAGGGTCAAGTAGAGAGCAGGAGGGGAGACGACGACCTCGGTGGTCTCATCGAGCTTGGCATCATTGAGGTTCTTGATGATGGCGGTAATGCTATCCGCAGTACCGTTCCTGTATTGCAAGAGAGAAAAAGGGCATCCGTTAGCTTCCTCGTGGTTGTTGTGGTATCAGGGGACATTGCGGGGCAGCTGTGATGGTAGTGAGGGTGATGTCGTACATCTTGAAGTTACCACCGACGAAGAATTGGCGAGGCATTTTGAATGTGTGTGTATGCGAAAGTAAGATACGACGAGTTGGGTTGAAGATAGACAGTGTGATTGTCAAGTTGAGTCTGAAAAGGAAGAGTAGAAGAAGATCAGACGACAGGGAAGAGCGATGACATAAAAGGGAAGAAAAGCGAACCAAAATCAATCCCACTCCATGGCGGGGTTTGGACTGCCTGAGGTCGGCATTAGTGGGGCTTATCGATAAGTTCTCGTCACCGGATGTAATGCGCTGTCAACTGCTGACTTGGTCCTCGAACATACTACTCAGTATGGATCCATACTATGCAATTATCCCAGTCATGGTGCAGACCAAATCTCACACTCATCACTCATTCAGTTTTATTTTTTTTTTTTTTTTGGGAGGAGAAAGTACATACACGAAACGTATTCTAAACGCAACAGATCTCGACAACACTGGTTGTATACAAACGGGTCCCCGGTGAATGACGTTATTAGTGTCTATCCGCCGCCCACTCGCACCCGAAAAGAATAATAGAAACTAACAGAAAATGCGGCCCGAGGATAACAGCAACATAAACAGGGGGGGAATCATGAAACAAAAAGTGGCAGGAAAAGAAAATTCAAATCAATAATTTTCATAATGCTGTCGAGAGTAATACGGACCAGCGTCTCTCAGGGACATGCGCCGGCGCAAGGCATCGTCCAATCTCTCATCTAACACATCCAGCATTCTAGTCCGATAGTCTAGCTGCTTCTCTCGGCGCTCAATTCTTGCTTCCCGATCATCGAGAATTCGGGTGCGAATATCGTTGCGAGCTCGTCCCCCACGATATCTTTCGTCGAACTCGGGTGCATCCAAATCCTCGGAACTAACAGGGGCGTGGATAATCTTCGGGCGATCTCGGGTCTGCCGAGCAACCTCTCGGCTATGGACCCTCCATAGTTGCTTGTCGGAATCCCTGCTGTCGGCGGGGATCACATCAACATAGTCACTGGGGTACTTGGTGCGACCGTGTCTGTTGTCAGATGCACCAGAGGGTTGCTTCCGGTAGTGGGAGCGGTATCGAGATGGCCCAGGGCGCCTTGAGGTAGAGGAATGCCGGCGAAAGAGACTTCCACGCCAGGGCTGCGCTTCTTTACGTGTCTCTCCCTCATGTTCAGAGTCATCTGTAACTGAGCTAAGGTCTTCAAAGTCGAAAATCTCTGAATCGTCATCCCCAATGCTGCTGGAGTCGGGAGCCAATTCTATCTCTGGTTCCGCCAAGTTGGGTGGTTTGACACTACCTCCTTGGGTGACGTTCTCAAAGGAACGAGATTCATAGGGATAGGAAGACTCTCTTCGTGTGTTGTTATGGGTTACCGGCACCCCGGCTGGGCTGTACACGTTATTGATCCCTGCGTGTTGTACACCAGCGTTCGGAGCGCCTCTGACATGCTCCTTTAGCACCTCAATAGCTGGGCCATTCTCTGGAACAGCCCTCGCGGTGTGGGGCATGGCTACCTGTGGGCGCTGGTGCGCTCCCACAGGGACTCCTCTAACATGCTCCTTCAACACCTCAACAGTAGGGCAATTCTCTGGGACAGCTCTCGCGACCTGAGGCATGTGCGGGTGTGCACCAGCGCTCGCCATGCCTCTGGCTTGCTCCTTTAGGACATCAATTGCGGGATCCTTCTCTGGAGCGGCCCGCACGACGTGGGGCATGGCTGCCTGTGGGTGTACCCCGAAAGAGAAATGAGCTGGGACTCCTTGTGGCAGATTTCCATGGTTAACCAATGGTCTTCCTCCCGCTTGCTGTACCTGCGGCTGAGGAGGGGGAGGCGGCGGTGGTGGAGCCTGCTGAGTGAACTCAGGGTTAAGCTGCCGTGGAACATTGTGCACCTGCACCATGGGGGGTTGTTGTGCATGACCCATATTAGACCGTGTCCACTGATGGACATTTTCAATCGCCGTGTCCAATGGCCGAGATTCATCGATGACTACGGGATTTTCGGCCTTCGGTTCAACCCTCTCCTTAGACTTGTTAGGCAAATCGAACTCCACTTGCGCCACCTTGGGACGCGAAGAGGTAATAGGCTTCCCCATGATCACAACGTCCATGGAAACAGTCTCATAGTCTCCACGCTTACTATTCTTGCCTTTCATCTGTCGTTCTTCTTCCTTGACATATGCACAAGTCCATTCCAGGAGAGAATCCTCCTTCTTGAGCTCGTTGATGAGTTGGTCCACATGGGTGCGCTTTGCTTTTGAAAGTGACTGGTACTGTTGGACGCCGGGGAGCTTCTTTGCCCGTTTCTGGACCATGCCGATCAACTCCGCTTGCGTCAGATGCATCTGGCTCTTTTCCACCTGGCCCCATGTGGGCTTGTGGCCAGGGGTCGCATCTTTCTTGAAGAAGGTATACCCAATATAAAAGTAGGGGCGCGAGTCTGCTACTTTTGCCGCAGTGGGCTCCTTTCCCGAGCTAGAGTCCGACACTTTCTGCCGATTTCCTGAGGCTGCTCTCTCCGTATTGACATTCAGGCGGGCCATTGCTTCAGCGACCTTGGCGGGATCTACAGAGCGCGGGGTGGCAGTATGGGTCGCGCGAGAGGCCCCCGAGTATCCTTCCTGTTGGCCTCCATGATGTCCCACTTGGTGACCTCCATGGTGGACTCCAGGATGGCCTCCGGGATGACCTGCAGGGTGAATAACCGGATGGCCTGCCGGATGAGACGCCTGGGGGGCTGCTGAGTGAGGTCCTGGGTGAGGTGTTGGATAGGAAGCTTGGCGCGGTGCTGAGTGAGCGAATGGATAAGCCCCCGGATAGGCCGACGGGTGGTAGAGTCCTGCTGGGAGTCCTTGGTAAACAGCTGGATAGAGAGCTGGATTCACTGGTTGTTGAGTCGGTGCATGGTGGGCGGGAGGCACCGGCGGCGTAGTTTTCTGGTTAATGACCGCCATCTCCCGGAGGACTCCGCCTGTAGCAGGGACAGATAAATAATGAATAAGGCCAGATGTAGTAAGCCGTGCGTAGACTCGACAAACAATCGCAAGACACCAAACAGGATCAACAAGACAAATCGGACAGGGGGTATATTGCAGAAAGACCACTAAACAAGAACGAAACCGAGGGAGAGAAAGTCTTCGAACAAAGTCGAGGGTCAAAGCATATTATAGTAATATCTTTCTCCTATCTCGACCTACCCAGGAGGGGTAAGTCGGCTTTTTCAAGTCCAGGTATCGGCAGGTTCAGGGCAAACATAATATGGCTGTGTTTCAGACTGTGGAAGATCCTTGTAATGTACTGTACTTCTGCCTGGTCATCTTTAGCTTTTTGATGACTGCACGTTCGACGGCAGGGAAAATCCCCGACCTCAACCAGGCCCCAGGCTGATTTCACCCGGAATAAGGCTAGCATTTCTCTTCCCCATCATTGGCGGACTTACCCTCCATTACACACAAAAGTCCAGATCTCACAAGAGCACCGAGCACCAGTGCCTGTATTTTTTATTTCTTTCCTTCTTCTTCTTCTTCAGATAGCGCCCAGCAACACGAGGTGAACAGGGCGCAGAAACACCCGGGCATTGCCAATAGTGAGGCTGCTGTCACGCCCTCGCCTTTTTCTCACGGTGAAAGACTCGAAAGAATGGTCTTGTATTGGAGGGAATCCTCAGCCCCAGGAAGGTGGCTATGCGAGATCCAAGGTGATTGGAAACATGAAGATAAAAATACGGAGACAATAATAGGCTACCTCCATCTGCCTGGAAACAGCTCGGAAGTTGGGTAGAAAGTTAGGGTATTCGGCCGGTCAGCTGTGTCACTTCCACGGCACCCTTTCTTCAAGCAACTAGACGCTGTTCAACTGCTCAGAAGTTATACCATAACGTAACCGGACGACCGTTGGTGAAATCAAAATGAGTCTTTTTCTTGTTTTTCTTCGAACATCGGACTGACTCGGTCCCTCCATTGGGTTTTCTTCTGTGACGAGCGATGCAGGCGATATGCAGCCAAGACAGGCAGGCAGGCACCCATCGCCTAAGAAAGTCAGAAAGGTGTCCTTAGCGTCGAGCATTTCAAATCCCCTCTGATGTAGGATTACGTCCACAGCATCAGATCCATGCAGGAAAGCAATGATGATTGTTTATTCAGTGGACGGATTTGTGAAACTAGTCAAGTGGTACTGCTTCCTGCTTACTTCTGATCCAGCGTCGCACACCCGGCACGGTTATATCGAACCTAATTTTTATTTATTTTTCTGTTGAAAGATGAATCGCCAATCTTCCTCGATAACCATTTACTGCTTCCACGGCTCCCTACACGATTTAATGTCTCAATCCTTGGACACCACCCCGGTCCCTCGTGCATCGAAAATTTTTTTCCATCACCCACCCTCCATCACACTCCTTGGGAAATGAGGGTACCAATCGACACGCGCGTTATATTCAACCCCCGACGATCTCTGCAGTGTCCCCGCATACACTGTGACAATATTGCTTTATGATAGGCCAGAGAAAATAACACACAATTTAATGGAGGTATAGACTATGCCACAGTCCATTGTTTCTTACCGCTCTGACTCATTTCTCCTATTGCTCATGACTGAAACACCTGGGGAGTGGTCGTGCGTATCATGCCCAATATTGAAAGAAAACCTTGCAAGAGAAAATACAATAAAGAAAACAGTGAATACCAATCTCACAGCCCCTATCTTCATCATGTTCTCTTTCCAAGGCGTATGGAGTACTTAATCCCTGCCGATAGTTCATGTACAGTACCCGTAGCCGGAAGGTTAGGGCAAGTGGAGATTAGTCCGTCCTAAGTTTCTCCAGCGCTTTCTGCATTCCATACATACATACATACATACACAAACGTGCCGGGTGTTCCAGGGAAACTTCCTACGTCCAGTCGCTTTGGTCTTCCTTGCTGTTTTGGGACTTAGTTCCGGGTCTCGCCCGCGTTGCTTTGTTGATCTGAGCACCGACAGCCACTCCCTCCGTCTGACCGTGGCAAGTCTTGATTGTGCTGACGAATCGTTCTTCTTCGTCACCGCTCTTTTTGTAAAGGAGATGAAGGAATGTAAAATAAATTAAATTAAAAAATAACCCCAGTTGATGGTCAGTGTTTTCGTGAGCTAGTCCACTGGATCAATACTTTGGGATTTAGGACCAAGATAGAAGACGAAATACTTGAGACAAGGGGATAGCGAGGACTGAAGAGAGATATAACAGGCTCTCTAGAGACTAATAGTATACGGACAGAGTTGGTTGTATTGATATGTTGAGTTTGATTTATTTGCTACCATCGAAGCTGCCAACCCAGGTGCCAGGAAAGACGTCCAGGCTGGTGAACGAGCAAGTAGATTCAAGAAGGTTTAGCGGAGTGGTAGTGGTTACAGTGGTAACAAGGATACTTAATCAATTTCTTAAATCTCGATATACATGATATTTCTATTAAAAGAAAAAGAGAGATTTCAGATCATACAAATTGATCAGCTGAGTTCTGGCGAGTTCTCTGCTGTAGATATACCAATTCGATCCTGAATAATTACTCCAGAGAATGATATTATGATTAACACTCGGCCAAAAAACGGCTATCATTGACACCGTTTTGTGCACTGTTGTTACTACTTTTGTCTCTTGGTCAGCCATCGCTGGCATTTAGCCATCGGACCCTGAAGATAACCCTGTATTTCCCGTACTGCCATCTCTGTGGATGGAGTGAGCAGTCCTGGCGTATGTCTCATGCAATCCCCTCTGGATTGGTTGAGTCTGAGAGTTACTGAAAAGTTCATTTTTTCATGTGCAGCAGCGGAGTTCAATAACATGCATGCTTGGCTCACCAATGAATTGTAAACTCAATGAAATGACTCAGCAGACATGAAGAATATCCATACTGAAATGGGCTTAACATATGCTAATTCCACATGGCATCTTGCGAAACACACGTGTAGTATATATTTTCTGTTGTCAAAGTTCACGCAGCCTGAGCGAGCACCTCTGCTGCGAGATCAATATCCAGTACGAGGATAAACAGGCTAAATACTAAAAGTAGGAACGCGATAGTGAACAAGAGCAGCCTAAACCAAATGAGGGACCTGGTGGTCAAAAGATACTTGGCAAGGTTTGTATCTTGGCGTGCCAACATGTACCAACAGCTATCTGAGATGCATATATTCAGGAAAGCTATGTTTAATCCTCTACTGCTGGTGCACTTTCAATACAGCTAACATCCACTTAGACATTGCATTGTGGTTTGGGTTTATGCCCGTACTAAATGAGTGTATCCATACAAGCGACGCGTCCTGTTCATGTCCTCCAAAGCACGAGAAAAATAACAATAGAATAAAAAAAGGAAGAAATCAAATACGTCAGGGCAAGCCTTATCTCAATACCTGTACCCAAGTTGGTACATCGTCACATATCCAAGCGTCTGCTCATCTAAACCTGAACAGTGAGGCAGTTCAAAAGGCCCTGTGATAAGCTCATGAGTATTTGCCGCTAAATATCTCCAGCCAGAAACTTACAATGCCATTGGTCTCGCAGCAGGCTGCCTGGTTGTTGCAACTTCCAACGAGAGCTGACATGCTATTAGTGAAAACACAAAGTACCAAGGCAGGGTAATCCCTTACGGAGACAAAGAGCAGGGAGGACATTCAGGTTCAAAATGCCGTTAGTCAAGCCAGTGCAGCATTTATTAGCTTGCGCGGTAGTGCATTGGGACGGAGTACCACCAGTCGGCGTAGCGCTGGCGACGGTGAAGGTAGCAATAAGGGCAATGGTGTGCACGAACTTCATTGTGGTAGATATGCGTTCTTTGTAAACCTAAGAGGAAATGGGGTGCAGTATTTCTATCTGAAGATGATAAGACACAGATCTTGTTGCGATGAGAAATAGATGGTTGAGACATAGGGGTTTATAGAGGTTTATATAGTTTTCTTGTCCAAGAACCTGTCCTATTTGGGTCATGGCTTGTAAGCCAGCTGACTCGGTGGTAGTCATTCTTCCAATCGTTCTAGGTAAGTACGTAGTAGAAACCGAATATAGAATTGGCAATGTGATTAGCCTTCTAGGGTCCCGCCAATGAGTCTTTTTGCAAAGCACAAAAGTCAATGCAGAACATGTGTCTGGGCACAGTCCAGAACAGCGTCGGCTAGAACAGCCTAGTTGGTCAATTGGCTCTTCCTCAAGATGATCTAGAACCTCCTTAACCATTGGGTTATATGGTAAATGTTTTGGTCGAGTGATCTTACCTATCGAGGGCCCAGTTCCTAAGCTATACCTTTGCTATATCTAAAGTCTCCCTTTAGCCCACGTCAACGAAAGCCCATCCATTGCTATCCCATACAATGCTTCTGAAGAACTGTAACAGAGTAAAGACAAGAGCCTTCAGAAATCGCATCACGCCCCGCACCATGCCACTTGTAATAGTATTTGGTTGCACTAAATGATCACATTCAAAGTAGCGTATCATCTCATCTTGCATAACGTAGCCACTTACTACCAATTCCTCTTCTAGGCTTGAGTATCCTTGCGTACAACCGCTACCCATGACCTGCGCTGAAAACAGGAAACGACGATGTTTATTGGGATTATACCTACCTATAGTCATTGACAGGATCTATTGTGGCCTGTTAATTCGCCAGTACCCCTGTCTGGCCAAGGACAATCACTCACTACCTGGCGCTGTGTCAGCCATACAGATCATTCCAAATGAGGGGTACATGATAGCAATAGCTTGCCACATCCTCATTCCCTTGGACCCTACTGGTAGCGTTCATAGCCTGGGTGGGGTGCGTCCGTATCCCTTGCAGAAAACTGCGGAGGGTGATCACCACCAATGTAATAAGCCCGTTCTGCAAATGCCACTAGCTAACTCATACTTGTTTTCAAGCCTCAAGTGGACCAATGCCAGCTGAAATTAAGGATCTCGCCTTACTATTTCTCATGTAACTCAACGATGGGCTTACCCATTTTAACGCAAGTTTAACTTCTCTCGGCGCCATGTTACCAACTTTCCTACCCATTCTGGTAGAAACGTCAATTTCTTTTCCTGAGAGAACTGTACAATAGTGAACCAGAACGAGGGTCAGCTGTTTTCCGGCTGTCTGTGATGATCCGATATTGTTATTCCTCAACGTGAACTTTTGTTGTGGCTTTGTCTGATTTCCACATATCTCGAACTTTCTCCAAGACTTAGGTGTAAGAGAAGGGCCACTGTTCACGATTCATAGGTCTGGTGACCATCTCGGCTTAGTGGCGTTGGCTACCCTCCCCTATTGACATTCAGGATCGTATACCTTTTTCGTGAGCGACGGGCAGTGTAACAAATTCGGTACGTTTGGTATGCAAGCAGCGTTCTCGTGCCCGTATTCTTAAGCATGCGGCGCCACCTTTCAGCCCATGGGTGAGGGTCTTATGCAGCTTACCTTTGGCCACTACAGCTGCTATACGAACTCCGCGCTGACATTTGTTCGACCAGTGTTGATTCACGGAGTACTGTGTCGTCACATAATGGTTTCCTTGCCGGTGAAGGGGTCTAGAAGCTCCCCGCAGTGTCATGGTTGCTTTGGGACGCACCCGCGATAATCGATACATTTTTGGGGCTGGCGAATGAGGGCCTGCAGCTCTTTCTGGTTGTGTGAAGACTGTACTTTATGAAGGTGGCAAATGTGGAGAGCAGGCCTCTGTCGAGCCCGGGCTGGAGAAACTCTCGGTCAAAGCCATCGATACGTACGATGGCCGTCAGGCGTTTAGGGAGTTGATACTCGTGAGAACAGAAAGCGAAACTTGCCTGGGGTTCTGCTGATATGGGCACTGGAGATCCATCTTGCACAGGATATATACTGGCCAGGATGTTCCATCGTATGGTGCAATGCCTCCGCGTAGACAATGGATAGGGATATTGTTCCTGACTAGGAAGTAGCTATAACATCCTTCCATATTGTGGAAAACCAGCACTTGGTATACATACTCAAGGAAGTCTGACTTCTGTTCCCATTTGGTTCTATAGCCCATCATTATCAATCATCAAATAAGATTCTATCTCCTGTTAGAGTTTAACTACTGAACGTCTAGCTAGTATGCAGGTGCTTCCAAGGCAGAACCTTATCCAGAAAGCTATCTAAACACATGAAATACAAAGAAAATAACACAATTTCTTCATCATTGTACCTTTATGTATAGAGAAGACCAACGCTATGAATTACGCCGAAAATGAGTCTTAAATATGCAGCACAGAACCCCTCCATCACAGTTCACCCTTTCTCCAGTCCAGTCCAGCCTATACGCAGAGGTGATATTGCATACTCGTCTCGAGCTTCACTTCCCCGCAGGTGTGGGCGAACCGCAGGAGACGAATACTCAACACTAGCATATTCATCACCAGTCCAGCTTTGGATCACTAGTAGTACCACAAGACTCAGGAGTTCTAACCCAGTCATACACTCCACCACGCAGAAAGAAGTTCTCTTTATCAAAGTGAACACGGTTTAAAGCCTTGCTCACGCCAACTTCCAAAATAGACGGTGTCGGTTCTCCAGTACCCTTATTGAGGAAACGCATGTATTCGTCCATGATCAGATAGGAGCTCTTCATCACCTTATTCGACTCCGCAATAAAGCATTTGTTGTGGGCGTGGGTCTTGCAGAAGAGCTCATATTCCTCGTCCGTGATGGTGAATTTTCTCGCATCCCGCAGAGTATCGCTGGAATCATTCTCATCCTCCACGATCAATACCTGGAAACACTTCCACCGGAACGGGTTGATCTTCGCGATAGAGGCGTTCATATCCTCATCGAAGTTGAACCGATTCACCACTGTATTCAACTTGAATTTTATCCCATGCTGTACACACAGTTCCGATATCCGGGTGATGTTGTCCAGATGCGCCCCAGTTCCTCGCCCTATCTTGACGTTGGTCTCCTCACGGAACGAGTCGCATGACACGGCAATGATATCGATGTATTTGCCATACGTCGAGAGAAAGCTTTTCGTCAGTCGACTTCCGTTCGTGACAATCGATACAGACTCGATCTGCAGGTCCTCTTTGCAAAACTTAATAAGCGACCCGAGGTGCTTAGGGTAGAGCAGTGGCTCCCCGCCGGCGAAGTTTATCTTCCGCATCCCAGCATCCTTCAACAGAGCGAGTCCCTTCTTTGCTGATTCAAGTGGCTCAAGGTACGAGGTCTTGGCGGTGTGGAAGCAGAAACCACATTCGTAATTGCATCGGCGCGTAAAATGATAGTTGACTGAGAGAGGTGTTTGTTGTCTTCTTCGTCTGAACCACTGCACTCCGATGTAAAGAGCAATGATTCCTGCGATAACGAGAGAGGTAAGCATTGTGATATGGCTTTTGCTTCTTCGCTTTTGCAAAAAGGGGACTTGAATAGAGAACCCCAATATATTATACCATATTTTCTGTGTCGCGACTCGCGAAGCAGCTCAAATTGGGCAGCCACGCGAACGCTTTCAGCTGGGATCTAGCGGTTCTCAGCCGCGGCGGGGTCTATACAGATGATCTACATCGACTAGCCACTAGTAGCCAACTGCTGCTATGGCATATCACATCAGGCAGATCTATAGATTCAGCTCGGTTATAAACAAGTGGGGCCGAATGATGATCGGGTTGAACACGCGGCTGAATGTGCAGGTGAATCCATATCACAGTCATGGCGGTGCATTTAAGTACGAGTTGTCAGTATTCTTCTCCATCTGAACTTGCGTCAAGTCTTTGAATAATTTTGTTGAGGGGAAAAAAGGATGACGATTATGCCTACGATACACCATTCTTCCAAGAAACCCAAAATTTTATTCATTCTAGGTAACGTCGGTTTATGGTTGCCTTCCATTCCACATTCAGTGGATACTGACTATACACCTTCTGAAGGTGGCCCTGGAGTAGGAAAAGGAACACAATGTACGAGACTCGCGAACGATTTCAATGTTGTCCACCTCTCCGTTGGCGATCTCCTTCGAACCCAAAAGAACCCAGAGCTTTCATCGTTGATTAAAAACACCATGACCGGGGGTGGGATTGTGCCACTTGAGATCGTAATGGCGGCAATACAGAATGCAGTGGACGAGCACGTGAGAAATGGTCAAAATACGTTTCTGATGGATGGTTTTCCTCGTAGTCTGGAGCAGCTCGAGGCTTTTGAGGAGCAGGTAGCTGCGCATCCCCACCGAACCTGAGATTGGAAATCTGACCAAGTCATAGTTCGGCCATTGTTGCGCGACACTTTTCTTTCAAGGCCCTGAAGATGTCCTGCTGAGACGGGTTCTCAATAGACACAAAACATCTGGAAGAGTCGACGATAATGAGATTACTTTCCGAAAGAGAATACAAGGATACTATGATCAAACCATACCTGTGATTGACAAGTTGAGAGCACAAGGGCGGGTCATAGAGGTCAGTGAAGCGACTTTTTATGGTATTTGCTCTACTAAGGATTTATAGATCGATTGCACCGGTGACTTGGATGAAGGATATGACTCAGTAAAGCAGGCCTTTATTGAAGCCGCCTCACGTTAAATTTTGAACTTATTGTCGCGGGACTATCTCTGCGAGACCATGATAGTAAATTGATGTGGCTCACTGCTGGTTGGTAGATCGCCCATACCGGATCATCATCCGACTTGATGGTTCATATGCTGGGATAATTGCTTGACGGTCTCTGCTTGAATTTCTCATTCTTGCTTGTTTCGTACATTTTTGAGCGCCTAAGAAGTTCAGCGTGCTTTTCTTATAGAAGATATCCAATGTCTTAGAATTATGCCACTTACGGCTTCATGTCAAGCTGGAGAACCGAACTTTTCAAAGTAAGCCGTAAGTTTTCCCTTAGGCCGACTGCTGTCAAAGAACCACGAGTATTTCTTCATAAAGACATCGATGTCTCGATGCGCCTCCTGGGCGTTTTCATGGAGAAGTTCAATTTCCCCCACCGCATGGCCGAAATCCGTACTATCCAGCATGACCGAAAACTTTTCATCGGCCAGAAATGACTCTCTTGTCGTGGTGAATTGACAGATGATGTCCAGTCCCAGATTATCCCCCTTTTTCTCCAGGGTATCCGGTAGAAATTGGCCCACAATCTTCTGGATTCGACTGTAGTCATTGATTTCCTCGAATGCGGTTCGAGTGAAGCTCCCTTCCACTCGCTTTTTCAGTTCCCAGGCTCCCTCGCGTTTTCGAATCCATATTCCATTGTTAGAAAAGAGATTTCCACGATCAAAGTAAGCATCAGAGAAGCGTTGAGTTCCTCGACTTGTTAGACTTAGGAATGGAGGGCTGCCCTTGTTGCGTCGGAAAACATTGCGAAGGAGTGGGTTGAAGCTGAACTTCTGCTCAACCTCAAGAAGAACCATGGTATTCTCCTGCTGTAGCTTTATGACTTTTTTACCAGTTGCATATAGATGGCAATTCGTCTAGGATATTTGTTTTGGCCAAGTAATAAGGGCAGCACGCGTTAAGTAACCCACAAAATCTCAAGCCTTGGCACCTCTAAACCTATCAAGGTTAGAGGCATCGCAATGTGGACCTTCGTAAGCTACTACTGAAGTTACTACTGGTTACTAGATATGCGGCAGTTGACCGCCACACCATTCACTTAAGTATAGAAATTTCATTAATCCACCGAAATTGAATGCCAAAGTGATGGGCGCTCTCGAGCGGACGGGGTTCATGCCCCCGCAGCAGATGCTGATGATTGACGCTATCTTCTCTCTGCCGGGTACCACCCTGGAAGCGGAGTATCTGCGCCGGATCCACGCAATCAATGCTGTCACAGCTTTCTGCGGCGTGGAAGAGGGGTGGAATCCGTGCGCATCGACTCCCCAAAGCAACGACCTCAGATCTGCTTTCTCTGTTTGGGGAACCCTGAGCTCCCCCTGAAAGACCGTCTTTTGAAGCATTCGACGCCTGGCTTACTCACGAGATACTTCCTACGGAAACATGTTAACTCTTTCTAGCTGGTTAAAGAGATGACGTGTACAGTCTGTGATAGAAAGCTATTGTAGTAGAAGTTTGAGCTGTTGAATTATGTAGAGGCTTTCTATGGAACCGTTGTGGGAGGCACTACTCAGTTTAGATTAGCGTAAGAAGTCAGTCCTTACTTAAGATGGTGATCGAGACTCTTCTAAGTAAATAACTTCTATGTTAGCTACGTCTATATAATATACTTGTTTATATATAATAGACCCTTTTTAGTGTAGTAAACGGACCTGTTAATCTTTGAAGTGAAGGTTTACTACTCTATAAGTTAGTTAAATTAAAGTATAAAACTTAAATAGAGTAACAAGGGTATATAAGCGACAGTTCTATTCAAGAAACGATAACTTAGATAAAAAGTTAATCAAGGGCAGAAAACACTAAGCAGACAAAGATATGTGTGGTATATTAAATATTAAGATAATATATTTTGCACGTAGAGCAGATTAGGAAAAGTGCTTCGTAGGCCTAGTTAATAATAAATTAGTTAGTGATCCCAAAGACGTATCAGTATAGGGAGCTTAGCTTTTCTAACTCTCGTATAAATTCTTGTTCTTTGTAATAAATTTGATATTATTATAATCGATATCAATCAATTTAATAGAGTTATTAAGATTATCGATAATCCCAGTACTAATAACGTAAAGCTTTATATTTAATTTGCAAGTCGCAGGGTCGATTTGTATATATAGCTCGATGTAAAGCGTGGGTCCCATTTAACTAAATTCCAGTTCCCAGCGACGGGCACGTGTCCATTCGTCTGTGAAGTAGATATCTAGATTATAAATCTTATCAAAATAAAACGGGGAGGTATTGACCCTAAAGTATATACCAAATTCCGCGTACTCCGCTTCGAGATTAAAACCGGGCATTTCGATAAATACGTCGAAGATACTATAGTCATGATACCAATTGAAGTCGAGTGGTATATCCTATTTCCCGGTTAAGGAACTTATAAAAGAAAAAGTATTCCGCGATATAAGATTACCTCCTGTATTCAATAATTCTCGCCCACCACTATTTAAGGAAGTAGTGGAAGAGGATAGTGATAAATCCTGCTAAGTACCAGATTAGAAGGAAGGCCAGAGTGTGTACTTGATAGAAGCCCCAGCAGAATCGGCTTTTATATCTAGAACAGCTTGATAAAATATAATTAAAGTAAAAAAAGCGATCGTTTTATCGAGACGCATAGTACTATAATTTAACGTGTCTGAACAAAAGGGAAAGGACATGTGTTGTAATGAAAAATAGACGTCTGAGCGGACCGCTCTTATGCTTCTAGGGTTTGGATATCGCTTACCTTACCTTACTCATCCAAAGATACCCCTTAGGGCTGGTAGGAGTTGATGATTGAAATACACTAGCGAAATTTAACTTCCAGGAATGCTACGGCTAATTAGTGGCTCCGTATAAATAGTAGTCCTGGGTCCCCTTTTTGGCAAGCAGAAGGGCTCCACTTTTGTCCCGTTCGAGCTGAGAAATACCGTGACTTTCTCCTCATTCCAGCTCACACCTGCAGCCACTTCCTTCGAATCATCGTCATTCCCTTCACTACGTCCTTGCTTCGCGAACCTCACATTGGTATCTAAACGAGATCTACAATTTCCTTTTTTGCCAGGCTTCTGGTCTTATTAAACTTAATGTAATGGAGTCTGACTGTATATACAGTAGCTTTCGACATCAGTTTAATTTAATACTCTTTAGACTTGATCCCCGGGGAAAATACGCTAATCCTGTTTAGGGTTACTCTCTCTTAGTTAGGCAGAACTAAGCTGATAATATCTACAGCCATACCGGGAACGTATTGTAATCAGCCTGTAATAATATATCGAATCTCGACCTATTTGGTAGATCTGGAAATCCAGCAGGATCGCCGCCCATTTTTCGCTCCTACGCAGTCCTTCGCTGCCACTACCCTCATTCTTCCCACATGCCGCACAGGCTTTTGTACATCAGTCGGTGTACGGCCGCTAGTCATCACACAGAAGGCTGTGCTAACGCTCCAGAGAGTATATGAGATGACGGTCCGCCCTGAAGCAGCTGCAGGTACCCTTAAACTCGAGTGGCGACCAAGACAATGGATGCATGAGAAGGATTCTCAACCTCTCTGCCTGCCATGAAACCATCTACATCGACGACCCGTCGACGTCGAAGAACCTTCTATATCGAAGCGTCGACGTCGAGGAGCTATCTACGTCGAAACGTCTACGTCGACGCGTCTACACCGAAGAGCTATCTACGTCGAGGAGCCATCGACATCAAACTCTCTATATTGGAAAGCCATCTACATCGGACCTATATGCGTAAAGATCAAAACATAAATTTCTACGTTTACCCAAATGCTTCACGTAGGTTTGCGCTTTTACGTGTTTCTTTATTGATCCTGTCACCCCACCATAGCGAGTCGCCTCAGCACCCAAGTCGCGCTAAATGCCAGGATGGCATTCAAATCCCTGACAGTCATTCGCCAAGCTATGATCCCTATGTAGAATACTGGCCTATGTAGTGGTTCCTACGTAAGATTCCAGGCTAAGTAGTACGTCCGACGTAGGACCCATGTCATTAATTCTCTGGATAGGTCATTATCTATCAAGCTACACTATCGATAATATGATATTTAGCTTACTACCTCATACATCCTACCTCTCTAGGTGATTAACGGGAGCTCGGTGATATTCTGGGTTAGAACTTATGGTTCATCGGCGACACACAGAGACACAAGGCACATTTACACATTCGTACGCTTATATTTTCCACATAAATAGCCATTGATCCTGGAGTAGTGCACGAGGTTATCACTAAACTAAGACTTAAATTATGGCAAGAAGACGTCACTCAAACAGCCGTCGGGTAAAAAGCTAACAAAAGCTTCGACTTCGTAGGACTCTTTTCAAGGGCATCTATAAGTACGCTTGTGAGTGCAACACCGACACCTACGTGATTATTTAAATCCAAGAGAACAGTAAAACGTTCTATTTTATATTAAATACATTCGAAAATGTTTTACCTATTTCCAAAGAACTGGTAAAGATAGGTTATTCGTCTTTTCCTACAAAAAATAGTAGCTGATAATATAGAAATAACTTTATCTACCACTAATTAAGAAGACACCTAAAGACCTTGCTATTGAGATCACAAATTGGACTATAAATCTTATATATAACCTTAATATTGATCAGGAAAGCTCTGGAGATTGAAGGAATAGATACACCTGCTTCTGGGTTTCTCCAGCCCACTTTGTAAAGACTCTGTTCCTAATTAGGTATTGGTTACTATTGCTAGGATTGTTTTTAGTTCTATACCAACTTCTAACAACGTCTGTTTTGACTCTGTGGTTTATTGGAAAGTCCCTCTAGTCTAATATTAACTCGAATAGGCGACTGCGCTACCAAGAACATTAACATTATTTACTATCGGTTTTCTCAAACACATACTTAGCGGGGCATGGGAGCCAATTTTTAGGAATTATATAGTCTTGAGAATATATCAGATATAGGAAAGCCGTAATAGAACCAACATCGTCACAATAAGCAAGGTATAAGATCGAGCAAGATCTGAGTCGCGGTGTATGAGTCAGGCTAAATGTATATACAGAGCTATGAGCCGGGGCTTGGAAGCCAGAATGCGAGACACTCCTCTTTAAGCCCCAGTTGGTCTTGTATCCGTGGTCTTGAGACCAAGCGAGGCATATAATCTCTCCCAGAGGGAGAATTGTATGTAATTTGTCTAAAAGGAATCTAACGGGAGCATAGATGCGCTCCCCGCCTTGCAACTAATGAATACTTGGCCGTGTTGGTCTCTTAAGATAGTGGACATAGGGCAGCAGACGTGCGAAGGCTGCAGCTTGGAACAGGGCCAGCCTCCCGAAGAACCAGATACGTCGCGCTGCCCTCACGTAGAACGGGATGGATGTGCTGATCACTCGCGATCACCCACCATCACCCACCATCATCCAGCTCTGGGTGAGTGCTCACCCCTGGAGACGTCACTAATAGTATGATTGGATGATCTTAAGCTGGTGCCCTGTGCGCCGGTGTTTTGCATTGACACTGGTATGGGTACCCAGGTCATGTCATCCAATGGTCTGTGCCGATGTAGCCGGAGCGAGGTTCTAGTCTGGATTCTCGAGAGAGTACCGGCTTTCAATTCCTCCCCCAAACTATTTGACCTCTTGGAAGCCCAAGCTTTCCATCACGATATTACACCGCTGCTTCTGGAAGCGGCTGATCAACGACCACAATAGCATCGATGGGGGCAGCCGATAGAATGAGACAGCCCTTTGACTGCATTTTTGGCGTTGATTGACCTTGATACCAGTTTCCCTGCCAGTGACCCCGTCGCGCCTTTTGCACTCCTTCTGAATACGCTCGCTCCAGCTCACCCGTCAATCACCACTCGATCACCTCCCCGCGCGACTCTTCAGCCGACCAGTTGAGTATAAGAGAGATAGAAGGTTCTCTCGTCTTTCTCACTCTCTATCCGCCGCTTCCCTTCATCATGGGGCATTTCTGAACGCCGTCGTCCACCATGGTTAAACTACGAAGCATTCGGAAGCGGGCTTCGAATAGCCCACGATCAAGACGTCAACAGCGGGCCCATCGTAAAGATAACTTATTCTTTAAGTGCTTTGAGTATTGTCAGGAGTGTGACGCAGATATTTTCATTATGATTCGGCTCAGGCACAATGGCCAGATCCAATTCTTTAACTCCAACGACCAATAGCCCCCATCCCTCGAGGAGCTGGTGGATTCGTCTCCTTATGACCGTGCTCTTTACCTCCGTACTGACTGGCCTCTAGGCTTCATACTATCCAAAGCCGAAACGAATTACGTGGCAAGAGTTGGCTGCCAGATACGCCGTTTCAGGTTCCTCTCCTTCACCCAACTAACTATATGACGAGGGATACGGGGAGAGCCTTGGGATGGTCGTAAGAGGAGCGGTGAAGTGTGCATAGACTGGTGTCTGAAGGCCCAAGCATTGCAATTCCGGGGTCCTTCTTTACTCATGATAGACATGCCAGCCCGAAAGACCACGACCATGATTCGACACTGAAGGACCGCAGCGCTCTACCCGCGAGGTATCGGTGAAAATTTGTGGCTGTCGTATCTATGATGGAGTATCTAGGGACGCGGGAGGCCAGATGCGGCCTGCATGGGAAATTTGAGGAGGTCACGTTTATGAAAATGAGAGATTGACCGTACTGGTAGAGTACTGAAGATCGGAAGTAGTTCTAAATTAAAGGCAGTTCAACGTTTCGGGCACAGGCAGAAACGTTAGAGCAATCCACTTAAATACCACCATTACTACCCAAGCCCAAGATCTCTGAGAGAATCAAACCCTCTCATCTCCTTAGCTATGGACTTGATGTTGACGGATGCCAAAGAAAAACTAACCACAGAGCAGCATTGTAAATGTTACGGCCCCAACACAGATGTCTCTCTAGCCACTGAGGAGTAGAGATCGAGACACCACCAATGTCGAGCGATTATATGAGATCTTTGCCAAGGATGGGTCTCGCCGTCTTGACCCCCAAATCGCGAAGCGAGCCTGGCAGGCCACAGGGCTGACCCTCGAAGCATTACGATCTCGCCAACAGCTATATCGACAGCTCTGTTTTTGTGGACGACAGATACAATGACTCCAGGGATAAAATAGACTCAAAGCTACCGAGGATTTCCTGTCGCCCTCGGGCCAGTGGAGGATAGCCAGACCTATGTCTGGACGATTTGGATCTCCCTTCGTGCAGTGATGCCATCTCCTCTAACCTTAGCTTGCAGATATCTGCCCAGATCCAGGGAATGCGCTTGTTAAGTAAAATGCGAACAAAAAGGCCCAACCAACGGGGAGGTGTACTGGAAAATCCGACAATACCAACACGAAATCAACGCGCTTCTTCGGAATCGTTGGTAGTCCCACCTCTCGCCGAATAGCCAAACGGGGACGTCGGCTTACCTCTCAGGATACTGCCTACGTCTGCGTCGCGTTTGGTGCGTTGCTTGCGAACCCAGGGCTCTGGTGACTAGAGCGCTGACGAGGCTGGAGGCATTATGGCTGGGATTACGGGGCTTCTTCAAAAGGACGCTACTCATATCCCGCCGTTCTGCCTGATCCAGAGCAAGCCTACCATCGCAAGAAAAGAGGGTTAGGATGTCCTCTTTCATGCCACGCATACGATGCACGAGGAAGAAGACGCGGAAATAGAACCGCATAATATAGCCAGAGCGGGCTCGGTTAGGAGGCGTCACGAGCCAGTTCAACCTATACCTTGTAGGGCCCACCGCAGGACTCCAGCCGCTACGAGTAGTTGACCCACTCTAGTAGCTGAGGCAGAGAGGCCATAGCTAGACTGTGTATACAAAGGATGTAGAGACCTCCCGTCTATTTAAGAGGTCGGCAACTCTCTACCTACCGCTACTTGCAATTCCTGGAGATTAGTATTATTTACTATGAAGTGAAAAGGCTCTATACTATATAATCAATAATGTAAAAGTCATCATACAAAAGATTTCAATAAATGTCAATTTAATCTATTATATTTACTTCAAAGAATCAGTGTCACAGGCTCACAGGCTCACGGTATAGCTATATACAGTACGATCCGGGTAGATCATGAATCAAACCCTAGGGCCTGATTTAGTATAGTGACCTTTTGGTCCAGTTCGGAATACGCTTGCCGGACACGTCTTCGTACAGATAATATTTCTGGATAAACTCGATAATGGGCCCATGGAAAGAGAAGTTCAAACGTGGTTGTTGCGCAGATAACCTATAACTACCTTCTGAGAATGGTGTAGAATCTATGATGGTGTTCCTCCATGGCAGGGAGGGACACTGTGGTTCGGTATTATACTACTTGCTCCTGGCCGATCCGTCCGCTCTTTGATAGAATGCTACAATCAACTGTATTTTGGGGGGTGAACAGATCCATATATCCAGCCAATCTTAGATGAGCTTTATTCGTGCTGGAGTTCCTCAGCATGATTTAAGCATCCTCCTGCATCCCTAGTCTGGAATTCTTGTATATTGGAAGACAGGCAATAGACTCCCTGCCATTGAATGGCTCACTACTCTTCATTTGCGCCTTGTTAATAATTCCAGGAAAAGGTTCATTGTCTGTCCTCTAGTAGTTTTTTAGGTCCTAATGCCAAGATATGCCATTTTGAGGTACGCCTCTTCCGTAGTATTGTGAATGTAGAGATGTATGGTACGTGTAGGAAGCAAACCATAACCAAAATCTGCTTACATTACAGCATGCCTTAGGTATACAGTTGAAATACAAATTCTTCCTGAGGTATGCGAGCTAAACCCTAGAAACAACCCTATCTTATCAGCCATGTCTGCCAGTTCCTCCCTCTTCAATCAATGGCAGCCAAAACAGTTGCAATGGCGTACTCCCCATCATGACTAATTGAAAGCTGCGCAGCACGCTTCGTGACCGGCTGTTGATTCTCGTCATTCCCCTCGACGGTATCTACATGATGAAAGCTGTGTATCACTAGCAGTGGCTTCATTTGTCCCGGAAGCACCAATACCTCAGCATGATGCCATCCAAGGCGCTGTGGAGAGACAGCTTTGATTGCTGCTTCTTTAGCGGCAAATCTGATACTTGATTAGCGCACCCCCACTGCAATTTTACTAATTTGCCTTACCGTCCAGCAACCCAGCTTGACAGTCTCCATAGCTCTCGGTCATAATCGTCCTGTTGACGACTCTTCTCATCGGTCCGACATACTGCAGTGTCTAGATCCTTTTTCAACCGTAAGACTTTATCATGCCGCTGTTGAAAAGCGTCACGTTCTGATTCACTGAAGATCCGTTTGCTGAATCGCTCGACATATTTTGAGTTCTCGCGGGTCAGGATTCGTCTGATTCTGGGAATATGGCAAATGTCGGTGCCAAGACCGAGAGGGTATGGAAAGGGAATGATATCAGATTTCGGCATTTTGGTAGTGGCCCGATTTATGGTCAGACTGTGGGGCTATGATCTCGTTTATCTAATTTATAGGGAGCAGCACAGAACAATTACCCGACTCTTGGCTGGGGTCGGCTTGTTGAATCACGAAGCCACTCTACATTGGAACTTTTTTGTCAACAGCATTTTCTAAGCTTCTTATTAACCTATCACAATAACTAGATTGCACATCGAATGTCGAGCACCAGATACAGCAAGTCAATCATTTACTTCTGGTTGTTTCTGATGTAATCAATGACATCTTGGGCTGTCCGCACGGGTGTGGAATTAGCATACGCAAAGAACATAGACACCTGGTGACACTTACTAGTTTTGAGAGATTCTGCATCTTCGTCCTGAATCTCTATGTCGAACTCCTGGTCACTTAGTCAGTAAATGTATAGAGCACGGAAACTATGAAGGAGGGGCGCTGTGGATCCATAGCCTTACCTCTTCTATGGCCATTACTAGTTCGACTGTGTCAAGAGAATCGGCACCCAGGTCACCCACAAAGCCGGCATCATTCTTGATCTATAGAGGCTCAATTAATATTAAGAAACATAACAGATAGAAGGAGGTCCCTACCGCCTCTGGCTTCTGGTCAAGTTGGTCTGCGACTATTTTTTTTACTCTCTCTTCAATAGTAGCCATACTGTATTCAAGATGATCGGGACACCGAGAAGATTTTGATTGAAGTGACGAGATGAATCGGGCAGCGTGAATTTTTAATATTTGCATTCTATCTTGAGAAAGCATCCCATATTTATATGGGGCAACCCCTCATCGGTTCTAAATCCAGTTAGTCTTCAGCCTAGTTAACTAAAAACTCTCGATTGGTAAACCTCAGCGTCCGGGTATATTTTCCCAACAAACTCTAGGCACATATAAGGCGAAAGACTTGTCGCTGCATCTAAACGCGTGGTAGAAAATATCACGCCTGAGGGTCTCCAACTACCCCCATGTTTTCGTAAAGAGGCAATACCCCATACAATCCCGTCTGTCGTGGAGATGGTGTGCAAGATCTTGGGTTTGAACGTGTTTTCAGAAACTCTGCTCTTGCGTTTATTATACAGTGTGGATTCTGCTTTGCAGCTATGCATAGCTGGCCCTGTTTACCTTTAGACCCCTATGTGCCAGGTCTGTTAGATCACGATGTGAATGCGTCTCAGTTCGTTTATCTATTTGCTGAGGGGCCTTTGCATTGCATGTGGTTTTCAGAGAACGTTTGATGCTACGGTGATTGATATGAGCGTAGGTGCTTCCCCAGACAATATTCAGATATAGGCTATCGACTCAGCAGCACAGCTATCTTTCTTTCTGGGCCATTGAAAATTAGATTGACAATTGCTTATCGTACGAAGGCTGGGTATTGATTATGACCGCTAACGCTCCATACAATTTGGACCACGTACTTATTCAGCCAGGTCGAGTATAACTACATATATCTGATGAGGAACTGTGCAGAGCTTTCTTAAAGCATATCCATTGAGGGGGGGG